TTCTGACAGGCAGTCTGCTTTTCATTATATAGGCCTGCTATATGGCCTCTATACTTAGCGAAGTAAGCAAACTGGGTAATAAACAGCATGTAAATTACCAGGCTGAGAAGTGCATTCATGTCACGCGGTGCTGAACTAGTTTCTAACTATCAGAGAGTAATCTATTGGTAACAAGTTGCATAGAAAGTATGCGATCCGATATTTTATAACGTAATTTTACTGAAGTTAATAACATTCGCAACTCGTGACAAAACAATGGCTGGTGGCGAAAATAAAGAAGCACGTTTCTTCTGTTTTATCGGGCTTATGTAAACAGGTACTGTGATTATATTACTGAAAAGAGGCTTCACGCTTCGCGGCGACTGCTAATCACCACACATTATTCTGTATATAGCAGCGACATTTCGGATTTTTTTTCCTCCAAATTCTTCATCCTTAAACACTGAATTTGCTGTCAATTTCATCAGGGTTCAATCATAAACTTACCGTCTCCATCTTCAAAGTTTAACTATTACCCTGGCGTGAAATTCTGCACCATTTTATTCAAAACTTGGGGCAAAGTTGTTCAATATTGAGCAGTGGACGTGCTGTATTCTTCTGCATTGTTGAACCCTGAACTTGAAACGTCCTTCAATATCATGTTCATATTCCTATTTTCAACGTTCTATATTTTTTCTGTTGGATGAGTGTTATAAAATAACATAAGAATTAATCAAACAGCGACATTATTACCTTGACAGTAAAGACATGAAATCTGCCAACAAACTGAGTGTCATTTGTCTTAAAATTCTGTTGTCTCCTGTCGTTCGTAGTACATAAGGTAAATTACCTTTATTCCGAGACCAGTCAAATATACTACATGCAAGATTCTCTTCCTACCCCCAAGAAAACACAGCAAAGATTAGTCTGTTGTACGATGCATAGCAAATTAATAGTTCTATAATTAATTGTTCCCAACAGTAGCCAGTGAGTGAGGTCAGCTGCTACACATCGTGGCTTCAGTTGTTGAAAAGCCTCTTTTTTCAAAGAATAAAGACACACTTTGAGCAAAATTACAAGCTACGTTAAAGAAAGTGGTATAAATAGTTACCACAGTGCTTCTCCTCTTCTGATTTCCATGAAATCATCTTTCAGAGAGCTGTCTCAATCAGGTGATAGAAATTCTATTGAATTAGGACTCTTGCAATTTCCGACGGAAACATTGCTGATACCACACGACTTGTACGCTGTAACGTTGGGTATCGCTCTCTATTTCTAGGACCAGTCTTCCCACTTTAAAAAATAAGCTGTGAATATTAACATTCTGAAGACAATATAACTCACAAGAGACGTGCCAGAAGTCAAACTTATCGGCTCCCACACCTTCGATTTCTCTACTTAAACTACATACTACGATTTCTGAACACTGCGACATGCATATATATAAATATTATTTTCATCCAAAAGAGAATTATGCGATGAGCGGAGAATGTAGTACGTAAGGGTCAGCTGAGAAATTTCTTATAGAATTTCAGTCGGAAAACCTGAAACAAAACGCAAGCACAGATTGAAAAATTATGAAAAATTTTCTCCGCCTCGTGATATCCCTGACCAAGCAGCTGATTATTGTACCCTAGGTACTAATGACTTTCAACTTTATTTTAGCACTTAAATGGTCTCGAAGTAAAGAAAATTACTTCGCTTATCATTAATGAGAAGAAATGAGGTGTCGACTGGGTTTATATGGCAATAGATGAGGTTCAGCGGCGAGCTCTTTTAAATAAGAAAATAGATTTTCAGAATTCCATATAAGGCAGGTAACTTATTGACTAGATGAACAAATATCAGCGTCTCAAGGACTCTGTCCATGGAGCTGGTGGCATGCGTAGGCCTGTAAAATAACAATGTTGAACGTAATTTATGAAATCCTTGTGCATGAAAAAACTCCAGGCATGCACATGTGTCCGCTTATTTATGTTGTCCTGTCCTGTGTAGATGTGACGGACTGATCTCCCGTCAAAGGGTCCCAAAAATATTGTATTCGTAGTTTCAGAAGCTAGTTCTGAACTGGAACGCACCAAAAGGCCTACCTAATACAGAAACGCCAAGAAAGAAAGCCAGTGATACAGACAGAATATTGCACAACGTTCTCATAGAAAAGGCACACCTACAAAGCTACGTAGGCTAATTAAAATGTATTTCAGCTAGACCTTTATCCATATCCGCACTGGTAAATATTTGTCCGACCCATTTCATATTCTGCATGGTATGTAACAAGGAGATATTTTATCGTAATTTCTCTTCAAAATTGCTTTAGAATACGCCATTAGGGAGATCCAAGAAACCCAGGAAGAAAAGGAACAGAACGAGTCAAGTCAGTTTCTGGACTGTGCTTATTATGTTAATTTCATCTTTATCAGCTATTACATATTATGCGGTGTGGTCTGTTCCAATAAAGAATTACATCTGAAATTATGAATCTCTTTAGACATTTGACAAGATTCCCTGGACGACTGACCAGCCCGTCGCAAGGCCTCTACCTGCACAGGACAGCACAACACAGAGAGACACAGATAAACATCCATGACTTAAGTGGGATTCGAACCCACGGTTCTGGTGTCGGAGTAACTAAGGCCTACGTACTAGATCGCACGGCAGCTGAGACATTATGCTGGTTTATTGGATGAATACAAAAGTACCAGAGAGAGAAACAGAGATCTATTAGACACCAGTGAAGAGGTTGGCTAGAGGTATAATAAATCTTGTTTGCGACATAGAAGGGTTTAAAATGTAAACAGGACACAGAAGACATCAGCGCCTCAGAGAACTCGTCCCAGACACAGGAAAGAGACGGAAACCTGTCCTCAGAAAAGAGCCGACAGACCAGCGCGCTGTCGACTCTGCTTCATTTGACCTTTAACAATAAGTGAAAAGCGTGACTCCACGTTATACACAACCGTGTCCTTTGCATTCTTTAATGACATGAAGTGAGAGGTGAGAACCGAGAGAAGCAATGAAATATGGCGCTCTTCCTGATAAACAGTTCACTCCATTATCCTACGAGCCAAATGAATTTGAATTTGCACTTTACCTTTAGCTTTGATTTAAGGTTTTCACATATCGGCCAACGATTCATTTTACGTCACACAATTCCGGTACATGATTACGTAATCACTTTCATTCACGCCTCTAACCAATCATTTATGGGAATTCTATGCATAAATGGATTGTGAACTGTTTAGTTGAGCAGGTGGTTACCAACATTTCGGGAAAAATAAGCTGCTTTCATAATCAGGGTATAAGTGACGAACAGGATAAACTACGGAGACCCTCCTCTTACTGCCTTCATCTTTCGTCCAAATATGTTTCCTAGGCCTTTGTTCTCAAATACACGCACGTTCTTCTTCAAGGGAAGACAGACCAATTTGCACAACCACAAGGAACTTGGTCAATTAGACAATGAATGTGGGATTGCTTAAAAATAGTTTCTTATTTCTGGTGTACAGCACAGAACTGCAGACTCGACAACTTGATTACCTTCACTTCACTTCGGATGGAATGAGATCTGGAGCAAGCAGTTGGCCGATGGTCCATCCAGCTGTCAGGGACGTCTGCCTACTTGAGTCGTAATCATCATCCATGCCAATATACACAACATACAGTGGCCCATAGCTCAGCGTTTTACAAACAGAATATAGCTCATCACATTCTCACTCACTGTAAAGTATTGATTCTTTTGTTTTGGATAAATTTTATATCGGTATTCAGGAACCGTGAAAAATGTTTCCCGCCATTTCCTAATTGTTCGTGAGTTGTTTCACGAAAATATATGTTGTTTTTTAAACATAAATCCACGTTGCCATCGTTTTACGTAATTTAAAAGTATAAATTACATGTTACCATGGAAAGATACGCAGTTTTTCATGGCCTAGACGATGTGACCTATTTCGATTTAGACTTAATTCTCCAATTATGAATCTCTTAGATACGAGGCAGGACTTTTCGGACTCCAAATAGCACCAACCTAAGATATCTGCCTCCTTAAATACCATAAAACACAAGAATGCGAAAATATATCCATGCAATGATGATTATTTCAGCCTACGCAAATACTTTCGGATGATCAAAACAGTAAGCACCTTAGACTTGCGGTCACTTTGATCTACTCTACCTCTTGTAAGACAACATCTAAATCCTTGGGGAAGTACAATTCTTTGATTGTGTAGGATATCTCTGAAATACGGTAAATTCCTTTACTTAGAAAATCTTTTCGATTTGCCTTTTGGTTGCTAAATCATACTATTTGTCGATTTTGTATTTAAACCTTCAATTTATACTACATATGTGCTGATTTTAATTGCCTTTCAGTACTCTTTAAATAAAGTTTTCTTCAATTATTAACAGACTATCAACCTATTAATGTTCTCCAACAAAAGAAAGAAAAACAAATTAACACCAACTGTTCGTTCTATTAGACTGAAGATACAAAAAAATGCAGCAAAGATATTCACACTCCATAAACTCATAAATTATTTTTCTTTGTATTTCGTTCAATATTAACCACATCAAAAAAAGTTTCAAATAAGTAAAGAATCTTAATGAATGTCATGTAGCTACAAATGTTGTTTGTATTATGAGTCGTTTTTGAGAAAACTGGAAGTCAGACTTGAGCTTAATTTAAAGTAGATATATTGGTCTGATACGTACCAAATTCAGATTCGTCCGCCAACTTTAGGGTTACATTGTCAATATCTGTTTATTTATAAGCTGCGTGGAAAGAATAAAAAACTGCACGTCGAATGATAACAGCTTCTCTAACGTATGTAAAATAGAAAACGTAGCTTCTAATTTGTCCACTTTGAGTATGAGAACTGAAACATATACATTGTCTAGGACACACATTTCCAGTTAGAAAATGTACAAATTAGCACACCCTCTCGACAAATGCAAATAATGCTACTGCAGAAGCTTTCTCATGTAGATCGAGTCCGGTTATGGCAGCAGATCCGATGCAATATGGCTGCTAGTATAAGAAAGCAAAGGAGCCCAGTAGGGCGGGTCATTGTTACTTGTGGCGTCTAACAAGACTGTAGCAGCCATGAGATCGCGCTTCTTACTGGTAGGTACAAACACAGTTCTTCAAGATCAGAAAAAAGTGCTCGTAAACTGTGAAAACCATCTTCAAACCGAGATTCATTGCGGACTTTAAAGTTTTCCTAATATGAATTAGAATTGTTTCCGTCTACGATTTAAATTCACTGTAATTAAATTTGAAATGTTTTTGGTTTATCGGTGTTGAATGTGTAGAATTGTGGCGTGTGTTCTTATGGTAAATCCATAATTGCAGTGCGTTTAGTGGTAACAGCTGATCGATGAAAATGTAATTTATCCATCCATCTGCAAGTTAAGGCCAGTTACAGTGATTCGTTTCATGTCAATCTCTTACTTTTGTTATTCAATCCCAAAACTTTTAACATCTTGTTTACTTTTCAAAGCATCAAACTATATATAACAAAAAATTATTCAGCTGCTATGTACAGACGTGAAATGTGGTCTCTTAAGTTGAGGAAAATTTAAAACTTACAAGTGTCTGAAAACACGTGGACCTAAAAAGGAAGAAGAAAGTGAAAGATTTATATTACACGACAATTATTTGTACAAGTGACTAATACCGATAGAATTTTCACATCTAGAAGGTTACGATGGGTTCAGAATGTAGCTAGGAGGGGGAAGACAAGGGATGCATAGAGGATTTTTGAAAACTGCTACTTGAGAAAGGATCACTTGAAAACAGGAATAGATAAAGAATAATATCACAATCAAGCATACGGAGACAGGACAATTCAAACATTACAACTGGCATTTATTTGTTACACAAAACTGTGTTAGAAAACACGCTACAATTAAGGATGGTATTCACAAATGTTAATAATTTTTCCTAGCTTAGTGTTTTATGAGATATCTCAAAGTGCAATAAATGAACGCATGCAAGCAAGGCTGACAAGACAAGTGTTATTTTAGAACAAAATAGGATATCATGATGTGAGTTGGAGTCTTCTGACTCATCATAGCGACTAGTCGTGGTCTGTTTTGAACACGATAACAAAACTTTGGGTTTCATAAAATGTGGGCAATTTCATTACCAGCTGCACGACAATTTTTTCAAATCCATACGCACACATACATCGTAATTATACAAACAACTTCACTTAATGAATGGGTATGTTTATTGCAAGAACGTATGTAATTTGTGAAATACGGTACCAAGATTTAGTTTTTGTTCTTTAATCTTGGAGTTTACGTCCCACATCGGGTACGTTAATTCGCATTGGTAAAGACCGCCCCTCTAGCGTAATGATAATCCAAGATCTGGCTTACTTAATTGAAAGAAAATAATACAGCGTCCAGGGACAAGTTTCCAGTCAAAATTAGAATTGTTAAAGAACATCAGTCCACAGAACAAATAAAACATTAACTATTTGGGTTGTGTGTTAACTTACAAACCAGACGGCGTGTGTAAGCTAACATACTTCACACATTACCAATATACGCGGTTTTTAAAAAGAAATCTTAATCGTAAACAAGGAGAAGCACAGATATTCTATAAAACGATGGCAGTGGACATCAAATACGGAATATACGACAAGGATTCAGGTGGCAGAAGGCTAGAGATATTTTCAAAAGTGGAAAAAAGTACCCGATGTATTTTGTATCTTTAGAGAATGAGCCATAGAAAAATACCAAACGAAGCAGACACACACACAAAATTCAGACCGAAAGCAAGAAAATACTTTTGTCGACCGCGTAAGCGATGGGAGGCTGAAGCAGTGAATCGTGAAGTGAAGATTATTATAATTTTAAGACAAGACAACCCTGAGACAGGTTTCTTTCAAAGCAGTTCCATTTTCTCCTGCCAATTATCTGTCCACTGGCATTTCATACTCGTTTATTACTTTCAATTAGGTGTGCACAAGGCCAAATCAGCCGGCAGGTAGTTTTCATAAATTCTGGCTTTAGTAGGAGCTTCAACTCTGACACATAAATGGACAGGACTTCACTTTATCAACCAAGCACACATGGTTATTGCAGCAAATAATAAAAATGAAAAGTCAACACTTTTATCCATTCTTTACTTCAAAGTTTAAATTCGATATTAGATATAACAGATTCCGATAAATCTAAGTCTCGGTCAATTTCCTTCAGCCACGAAACAGTATCGACCTTCAATAAAAATTGAAGCATCGCGTTCATTTCTTCGTTCGGGTCTGCAGAAATTCAGAACTAGAGTTGTACTACACTCCTGCTTCATCTTGACTATAGCTTTTGGTTTCTTGCTGGCAAGATGGAATACTAAGAGGGAAATGTTTCTTCAAGCAGAATGGCGGATGACGAACGTGAAACAACCTTCGACTCTCAATTGGTTGCCGTTCTCCCATTACTGACCTTCATTCAAGCTGTGATCTGACAATCGACATTATTACCAAATTCTGAACAAATATCAGTTTTATTCAGCAGGTTTATGCAAGTTTTATGGTAATACGACCATAATTCACGTATTACTGTGGAAAAGTCTATATAAAAATAATTAACGAAGTAAAATTCAATAACTACAGACAGGCCTAACACAGAAAAAAGAACATGTACAGAATAATGTAATAAGAATATGTGGAAACTAAAGGATACCGTTAATTAATGAGTCACTGTAAGAGTGAAAACTGACAGCAGATGAAATACAATCGATTATGTCCAATGCACACATCAAGGGTCTACTTGTCTTACTCTGCGGCTATCAGATTTAGAGTTGTCGGACATGATTCTACTGTGCTGGTCCAGTGGAAATCTTAGGTTCCCGTTTTGATCAGAAAATACCTACATTTTGGTGAGATCCAGGTCTGGTAGACAGGCCTACTTAGCAAGATCTGTTTGAAACGATAAGTACCAACATCCACTCTGCAGCATGTTTTATTTGGCAAATTACAAAATCAAATTAGTAACACAATTAATGAAAATTCTTTCCGTCAAATTAATTGCAGGAAGAAAGAAGAAACCCCTACGAACTTTTCTGTGAAAGCAAATAAAGAAACAAAATACAGACACACACACTACATAGTCTGGAGCACATTTAAGAACACAACCAGCTTAAAATATAACAGAATTAAAAAGCTCTTTGAGGTAATTTCGTGCCCACTTGCTAGTCATAATTATTATGTGGATTTATGGTTATTATACCGAGTTTCAGGATATCACAGCTGTGCATAGCCTCCCCAACACAAACCTAAAGAGTAATATGATAATAAAATAATGTGTACCGTACGCGGTATACGACTGCCGCACACCTGCAAGTTTAAACATGGCATATGCTACAGCTACTTTCCAACAGATCGACTGATTCCTGCTCAGAATGCGATTATATTTTTCTGGTACAAGAATTGATAGGTGGTGCTATTTCACAGGTAATACAGGGCGTTGAATATGGACTTCACATTTTATTAAATAATGACCTGTCTGGTATGCAGTATAAAGGGATAGCTGCAATTCGAAGGTAAACAGGGCAGTCGACTGTGCATATTCAAAAGCAGGTTTAGAGTAGTGTCTCTCGGTCAGTGGTTCGACGGTTCGTAGCCTAAGTATTTTACTACAGCTGCAAGAATTGCCTCTACTTCATAACTGACATCCTTAGTCTGTTGACTCTTACCACCTAAATAGTTTGTGTTAAATATTACTTCATTTTTTGTAGTCTCTCTACGTTGACCGAAGTCAATTACAATGACTTCTTTTCGTCATACACCCACAGGTAATCAGATGACTTAAATTACTCCATGTTTTTGGTTTATAATTTTAATTGACAGCTAGACTAATTTCATTGTTTGTCACTATTATGTCCGTTGGAAAGAAATAAAAGGAGAGAAAGACATAAAAGAATCAGGAAAAAATTCGGTTCCTATTGGGAATGGTAGAATACATGATCAGTGATAAAAATCACTCATTTGAATGTTTGTGAAACTTAATATTTAGGTCCCGAAATAAATTAAATTTAAGTCTACTTTCTGTCACTTATGCTTAATTAAACCACAAATGTCTTGGTTTACTTACAATACCAGTTTTCCTTTAAATTACATAATGGAGTCAATCCTAGAAGTCGACTTTATTAGCCAACCTTAGTTTGGCAAATGACCAAGAATTCTACCAGTACTAAAAAATGTAAATTTCAAAGGCGTAAACTACACGTTAAAGAAGTGAAAGTTTTATCACGTACATGAAAAGTCGAATTATAAATCAGTAGATATTTTTAATCAACAGCACACACTGCGACTACCCCGTCTGGGTACGATTCTTAACAGATGTAATCAAAAGCACCACGACTATGTACTATAATAGAGATCCGGCATATGCAGTACTTGACTCCTTGCCACAATTACAAGTACATATTTATTTCATCACATCCTGAACAGAACTGTAGACAGATTCCATTCAAGGCCGATTCCTGAAGCACGTTCTTGTGGTAATTTACTGAATATTAATATATAAAATAAACAAACCTCCTGTTATTACCGTCTTCCATTCACTCGCTGTAACGGGTCGAACATAATAATACCTAGCCGCTTACAATATACAGCGTTTTCACTAGCAACAGCGTGCAAATGTGGCCCTTGGTGGTGGCATTGTAACGGTTACGTTGCATTTACGAACACCGCCTGCCTGATATCTATGTATACGATCGTATATCGAAAGGGATTGCTGAACAATTGACAACTCAGAATAATCCTATACTTCATCACCAAGCCTCAGAGAAAATAATATACCAGGTGATTCAAAAAGGACTTTACAACTTTGAAAGTGTATAGAAATTTATTCAGAAGGCTTGATTTGTTTTGCTACAAAATTACATCTCAACCGATTCTGTAAGCCTTCTGAATAAATTTCTGTACACTTTCAAAGTTGTAAAGTCCTTTTTGAATCACCCTGTATTAAAAGAGCATGTTAACAAGTTAAGATAGCATTAGACTACATATTTAATATAATAGACCACACCACGGTAAAATGTCTGCTATAATTACATTTGGTTTAAAAAAAACTTGTATTCATTTCAGAAGCGTTGCATAAACTCCGTACAACCTTTCCACTTAAAAAGAAAGTCATACTAAGAGATAACAATTTGATATCCTTTCAGATAGTACTGTGTGGAAGTGTCCTGGCACAGTATGATGACGATGATTTTGGAAGTGCCTTGCCACAAAGAGTCATCATCCCTGGAGCTGTTCCTGCTGGCCGACCCCAGGTCCGTCCTCGGATTCAAGGGGCACAAGGACGAGTCCTACAAAGTCCTAGGGGATCTGGGGCAGTACCAGTGTTGAGAGTACATCGTCCTGGTGCACCAGGACGAGGCGAAAAGCCACAGCAACAAGGATATCCATCTACTCTGAGTGCTGGAGAACCGCAAATATTAAGAAGCACTCCAAATCCATTAGGACCCACCCCATCCTTACCTGCCATTCTTGCTCAAGCACGTCCACTTCCACACGCGAGTACAATACTTCCTCGCCCCATACAAGAAGAGCCATTTGAAGATGAAACAGAAACAGATCTGGATTCTGAGACACAAGCTCTTTCAATCCCAAGTTCAACTTCTCTCCCAGCTAGTCTGTCTACACGTCCACAGAGTCTACAGCCTGCAGCATTCCGTCCAACAAGACCTGCATTCAAGCCTGAAAGGCCATTAGTGCCACATGTATCTCCTTCTATAGAAGATATACAAGTTCCTAGTCGCCAGCAATTCAGGCAATCAGCTGATGACCTTCCAGTACCTACACGCCAGCAGTTCCATCAACCTACTGAAGACAATATAGCGACACGCCAGCAGTTACGCCAACAGGTGAGTTTCAGTAGATTACAAATACAGGTAGCCCTCGATTTACGCCGGGGATGCGTTCCTGGACGAACCGGCGTAAATTGAAACTCTGTTATAATGTAAATCAATGGGAAGTCAATGACATGCGTTCCTAGCATCCAAATATTGACGAGTACTATAATGATATTACATTTAAAGTTCTGAAATAACATAAATAAAATAAAGGGAATTTAAAAAAATATATTTCATACACTTACAATCGGCAATTCGTTGGTCCCCGCGATTGATTGCGATTCTTTCATGTGATTGATGTGTACAGTCATCTCTGCTGTTATGCAATAGTTGCATTCATGTAAGACGCCGACCTATAGAGAATCGCGTAATAAAAATATCCTCGGTACCTCCTTAGAGATTAAATTAGTCGTTTGAAAGTTTAAAGCGCCAGGAATGAAATTGCATAAGAGCTAACTCGCATATGCAAAAGTTTGTATTTCACAAACAGCTTTTACCGATTCATCGATCTCATTGGAGCAAATTCGCGTTAACGAAACATACGTAATTGCAGAGGTGACTGTATTTATAATTTTTATTCAAAATCAGCGAAGTAAGAATTACGATTTAGTATAAGAATCAGTACGAGATACATTGTAAAACGTTATAAATAATAGTAAAATATATTTTTTTCACTTTTTGACTTTCCGGTTTCAAAATCGGCGTTATTCTGAATCGGCGCAAATTGAACCGGAGGAAATCGAGGGCTACCTGTACTAAACAATCACATGACACACTAAATCAGCTCATTTTACCCTTCTACTGGACTCTTGACAAAACTAAAAATTGATAATAAACTACGAACTGACCAATTAATGCTAACACTGCTCAAATATTTTGTCTTCTCGTTACGTATCACGTGTCGAGAAGTATAATCTTTTACCGACATTCATATTTCATACTACACACACAGTGTTAAAATATGACCAATGTCTAAAAAATGTTATTTTAATCCAGATCATGCTTGACATTGTAACAGCCTTCCTTTTTTAGAATTTTAAATAATTACTTACTACAGTATCTTTAATCATTTAGAGACGCAACTTAAACCACATCCGTATTTGTACGCCCACAATTTAACAGACTGGCATGTGGTTAGCAAGGACTCCAAGGGTTAAAATCCAAGAATTACCTCATTTAATTCACTAGAATTTCCCACCTGTCCCCCAAAATTCCAAAGAAAACGTTCCTGTTCAAATAAATCATCACTCACTGCCATGAGAACCTCAACTCCTATCAAGTAAATTACTATTAGTTTTTCAAGGATTCTGATCTATGAATTGATTATCCTAACTTAAAACACATGGACTTCTAAATCACTAAAGTGAAGCAAAATAAAAATAATCCAATTACAAAATGTTTTCCTATTCACAGCCTAGGCCAGTACCTACTGAGCCCCAGTACACAAAGACATCCCCTCAAGAGTACAATACAAGGCAACAGCAGATCACAAGACAACCGCCCCCTCAGCAACAATTCAGCAAGCCACAACGTGGAAAGAAACCAGTAGCTCAGGTATGAATAACCAAGAGACAGGAAGAAACAATTTATCAACCACGGCACAGAACCCACAACCTCCCAATTACCGAGTCTGCCAAAGAAGAGTTTTCTTTCAGTGTTGTTCAGGTCGCAAAAGAAACGTCCCTTACCATATACTCCAGGGTTCTGGACGATATATCATTCCAACGCCATATTATGAACTCAACATCGTAACATAATTTACTTTTCATGTTTACCATGTTAATCATTCAATTCCTGAAGCTGTCTACATTATTGTAGTTGAAGATTCCTGTCTTCTGGGTTGTTGCGCTGTGTAGTCTGGTTAATGTTTACCAACGTTTCAGAGGTCATTCTGCCTCCGTCATCAGGGCGATGAAGATTTCTGTCTTCTGGGTTGTTGCGCTGTGTAGTCTGGTCGATGTTAACCAACGTTTCAGAGGTCATACTGCCTCCGTCATCAGGGCGATGAAGATTTCTGTCTTCTGCGTTGTTGCGCTGTGTAGTCTGGTAGATGTTAAGACAGAAATCTTCATACTCATAGCCCTGATGACGGAGGCAGTATGACCTCTGAAACGTTGGTGGACTTCTACCAGACTACAAGGCGCAACAACCCAGAAGACAGAAATCTTCATACTCACCGCTGTGAAAACCTCAAATCTTATACAGTAGATTATAGTTGTTTGTGGACCACACATAAGAAAGAAACAGACAAAACAGCAATTTCATAAGCCTAAATTCTTTTTCCTGAAGAAATAAAAGTGGACTAAAAATTTTGTCATTCACAACAATCTTTATGTTCTATCCACACAATAAATGTTTGTATAGTTCCAATGGTTAATGATTTGTCATCATGAAACTGAAAGCCAACTGTACAAGATTTGTAGATTTTGGATGGCCGACAGTTGTTTTATTCCAGTTTTTGTAGATATATCTTCATATAACACTTCGGACAGCTATTACACTGGTATCAAGGACAAAGTTAAAACATACAAACACGACATAACACTCATACCAAATTTCATGCAAATCCACTGACGAGCTCAAAAGTTAGTTGGGGGGAAAAGAAATGCTAAGGAAAGTAGGATAAAAAAAGTTCTTCCAGTCCAATTTCTGAAATCACATTTATCAGTTAAGTGTACCATCATTTGCTCTTTGTAAATGTAATAAAACTCCAATATCGAAGCGTGGGTTCCGTATCTTTAAAAATAAACTGTTACGGGTGAAATTCTGATGTGTCTATAATTCTGGTTCTCACAGGTTATCAGTCGTTACCGTGAAGATAATGAAGATGGCAGCATTACATGGGGTTATGAAAATGATGACGGAAGTTTCAAGGAGGAAACCATTGGTGTCGACTGTGTCGTACGAGGCAAATACGGTTACACGGACCCAGACGGCCTGCGTAGACAGTACACATACAGCAGTGGAATACCTTGTGATAAAGAAGAAGAAAACAGAAAGAAAGAGAGTACCGAAGGTTTTGAAGACTATCAAAACAACAAATATGTACTTCCAAATGGTGATGCTATTGATCTGGAATCTGCTGTAAGAAACAAAGCAAGAAAACCAGTTACTCAATACAGAAACTGATGTATTTGTACAATCAACTTAAAACTGTAGTGTAAATTACAGATGATGTGAAATGAAAGCAGACACAGACCAATATACAGCAGTATAATACAGCTTAGAAACAAAATAATCATGTTCATATTCCTGGTATGTGTCATTGCTTTACAGGAAGTGCAACTCTAACTAGAATTCAGCAGTCTGCATGTACTGTTTGCACACAGTGCATAAAATGACAAAATTTAGTACTCAGCTGATCTACACAAACAATTTTTTTCCCAAAAGTATTAAATTAAGCATAAGCATTTCAGTTTTAACAGTAAACATAATTACTCTTTTGGACATTGTCTACCGTCTGAGGATTTTCAAACACAACATTTTGGAAATGGGACCCTTTTCTGTTACGCACTGCTCTCTATGCTGTTTCGCAGTCGATGAACTGGAGTAAGCGGATCAATGACCTATCCTCCAAAAAGCAAAGATGTATGAAAAACATTGTCTGTACTAAGAGAACTCAGCAATTAAAGACGTCTTTGAAAAAAAATTACTGCAGCTGCAGCAAGTCACTTCAGACTTTGTTCATCATAACTGGACTGTAATTAAACAATAATAGGATGTTGCTGGGCTAAAAACGGAGACTGTAGCAACACATGCACGCAAACTGTGAAACTTTCACCACATTCCTAAAATTAATAACTATATTCTTCTTCTACGGCTCTCTGGTCCGTATTCGGTCCACGGCCTCCTCAATTCTCCTCAGGTAAGTACACAACAGATAAATTGTCAAGTGACAATTACACAAAGTTAATGGAAATCTAATACAATCAAATATTAAACCTAGTAATAACTTTTATTCAGAAATACCAGTTGTTTTCTACCATGATAATTTTAATTCTTTCCCAGCATAATTTCTTAAAATAAAAATATCTTTTGCTGCATTATATTTGGTGTGAAAACAATTTAAAGTGTCATTCTTTTTGCTTTACTAATGCCACGTTTTAACAAGATTTCCACCAATAAAACATTTGCTCAACTGCCACAGACACTGATGTCTTCGCTCCACTGCCACATGTCAGTAAGCCAGTAACATTTCATGCGTGTATGGCTACTATTGTCTTGAGCGAGTGTTAACTTCTTGGAATGTTCCATTACTAAATGAAAAGGGCTGAGTCTCACTACAATGTATTTACTGATTTCTTATCCTGAACATAAAAAATACAAATCCTCAAGTAGGGCTTTCAAAATTCAATTTGAATTTACTTAGCCTTATCCACATTCAGTAAGATCTTCCACCTCTTCTCATCATAGGCATCATGCGATTTGGTGGAGTAATAGAAATGTCCATGTAATCACCAATACAAAACCTACAAATGAAAACATAGATACCAAATACAACAGATATTACACAATAAAAGAATACATTTAAAAATTCAATGTTGTGATTTCACTGAGACTAGATTTCTATCATTCATCAGCTTATTTGCTTTCAGAATTTAACAACTTTATAATTTATTGTTCCTGTAATCTTGTTACAATTTACCACTCAAATTACCTTGCCTGTGCCAAAGTTTTGCTATCATCAGAACCTCTTTGTCCTGAGCATGTTGTTCCAATTTCTCTCATTCTGTACCCTGGACTCCTCATATCGGGGAAAACTAAAGAGAAATCAAAGTAGGTCCCCTTCCTTCTGGCCTCTGGATTTACTTCCTTCACCAAACTAGTAATTTCACGAAGTGTTGCATCCATCCTGCAAAGAATAATACAGAATTCACATAAACAATTATATAAATATGAAAAATTAGGAGTTATTTAACTATTTCCAGAATTCAAAAACTAGAACTAGCTCAAGAAACTTTTTAGTTCACTTTCCATTCAATAAAAGAATAAAGAGGCTTATGGTATTATGTCCATGTGCCTGTCCGTACTTAATAACATGAATATTATGGGGTAAACACTTTCACGAAAGTGAGTTATGAAACTCATAACACAATGCACAGAAAACAGTAACATGATGTCCATATAAACAGTGCATACAGGTCACATAAAAAAAGTTGTTGAAAGATATCACTATTCAGTGTTTCATTATGTGCATACAGCTCACCTCAGATATTTTCACATACCATTTCAAACTAAAATTTTCCATAAATCAGAAGTCAGGATATACTTATTTGCATGGCCTTACCAGGTATAAATCTGCAGTTCATTGGTAGGAACATTGCCTCTACTGTAGTCAATTATATTATTGTGGCGCCCTGTACTGCAGAACACGCGCAGCAAGAGGGGACAAGTCTGGGAAAGAATAAATATGTCATATTTTATTAAGAGTTGTATGTTATAGCAACATCATATGACTTAAAAAGGGCTATGTTACTAAATCTTATATGGGAAGAGGTATTTCTTTTTTGAGGCACGATACAAAACGTATTTAGTCTGCATCCTAATAAAACTGATGTCAAAACACATGCTAAGGTATTTGGCTGAAATATTAGTAAATGTCATGAACATGGTACTATTAGTCTTGTCACTAATTGATGAACACTCTTAAAGCACGTCACATAAACACCATGTGTTGGACAAAGCTGCAGTTACAAATTCAAGGTTCAATCAACCAAACAGTAATGCTTCCCTAGGAACTGTGTATAAAACAATCCATCAAAAATATCTTCTCATCAGTGAATTGTGATGTACTTACAAATGCATATTAACCGGTGAGTCAATTACTATAGAAAACTTTCTGTGTTTTATTTCTGATCCCTCACATCAAGGAAAGAACACTGACTTTTATGAACAGGGTGCAAAGGAGAATATTCAGACACAACTGTCTGAAGGCTGGTGGAAAGCGTACTCGGTTAGGGTTTTAAAAATGTTTCTGTAAATATATGTAAAGTTTTTCGTAATAAAGACTAGAACTATACTACTTACTTTTTCACGATCCACTGGTTTCTCCGGTTCAGATTTATCTTCCACTATCATGGATTCGATCGGAGCAGACGCCATCTTCACAACGTTGCTACAACGCGTGGTTCACGTGGTTGCAAGCGCATATCTACGAAACACAGCCCACAGATAGTACAACCTATCAGAAAAATACGGATAGCCTTCCATGAAACTGTACAAACATGAGAATTTACTGCCATCTATGAACACGATACCGTATTGCAGTACATAAACTTTTACGTTCTCCACGCTCACCTTGTAGATTGAAACCTTTAAAAAAATTTAAAGAATGCAAAGCACAGATTCCCAACGCACACTTCAATAACTCGACTTAACATAAGGTGCACCCTAATCCTTTATACCGTCAGTATTTTGCAATATCCACAGCAAATAAATTTACTCATTGCTTATGATGTTTGAATGGAGGCAGAAAAGACCTCTGAAACGTCGGTAAACTTCTACCATATTACATGGCGCAACAATCCAGAAGACAGCCATCCTCAGGCTCACTGCCGTGAAAATCTCAAATCCTACATAACTTTCGGAGTTCTTGTACTTCAAAATGTATATAATACTGTCTTAAACTTATGGCTGAAATGACAGTTCAAACTGACTGCATGGATCATGGATTTTTACTTCTGACAATACAAGTTAAATGTTCCATATCCGTCCTCTATCAATGGGCTTTACCATAGCCAACATTCTTCTATAATAGGATTGTTAAAGTAATTCGTAGTTTATCTATTTGGGAAGAAGTTTTGGATTTTGCTTCACTAAAAAATAATAATTATTATTATGATAAATAATAATTACAGCAAAGGGTTTTTAGATTATTACTTTTCTGTTTGCTAACATAAGTGCTTGTTTCTTGCACTAGCTACTCAGAGTGTCCAAGTTCACTCCAAACTACCTTGAAAATTTTTAGTTTTTTCAGTTTTATGATATGAAACATGTGTTACTGGCCAATGCAGGTTTTGTAGCATACAAGTGGGTAGTGCTTAGAAGCAAACAGCAACAACTTGTTTTAAAAATGGTCAACTATGTAAAAATCCTAAATCCTGAGAAAAATTTATCTTGGCTTGTGACTAAAACTGCAGAAGTTACATATATTTTGAGAATCTCAGTACCTATAAAAGGAATGATGGCTCTGCAACAAGTTTTGTGGGTAAGATACATATTTTCATTTTTTAACACGAGAACAAATCATTACCTCATGTTGACAGTAAGATCAGACAGAACCACTTCTAAACATGGTTGAGCACTGGCTGTTCATTTAACTTGAATGTTATGTACTTGGATGGCTGCTCTACATTGCAATACTGTGGCCATATGAGAAATATTGTTCATGTTGGATAAGCTACAGAATATTACAAGTGTATTTACTAATAAAACCAAATCAATTTTTGAAGTACCACATTTTTATATAAGGATACATGTGGAGAGTAACAGAGCTATGTAAATGAAGCTCAACACATGTGAACTAAATGATGATATGGGATGAAGCTTCAGTCCAGCAACATACAAGTATGGAATCTGGATTCCATTCTGCAACTTATAACTGCACATTTACAAATTATCATATTTTCATGAACATATCCCCACACATACCCAAATGTGCATCACAATTTTCAAAACCTAAATTGAAGAAAATAATTATTTTTATCGATATAAAATTTTCCAGCTATTGTTACCATGTGACATTTAAGATATTAACCAGAAGATGGCCTAAAGAGGTCACAACATATAGCACAGTATAATACAAGTTGTGTAGACACTACTGTACCAAAAAGCTTCTTAATGCAGTAAACAACTATTCATGTACCAAATATTTCTGAAAAACCTTTCATTAAAATGTTTAGATGTCAACTGTACAAAATTTACCGTAAAGTAATTTCAATAGATAATAAAATTCACATTAGTAGCTTCCACTAAAACATCTAACAGAATTAAACATATGCTAATATAATGCACAGTCAATGTTTGGAAGGTATTTGAATGAAAAAAACTGCAAATTATATTTGGGCGAATACATTATTTCATTTCACTCATAATGTCACTACTATTAAAGATCATCTTAATTTCTGATGCTAGAACTGTAATATCACATGTTACTATTTGCATATTCATAAATATTATCTCCATACTGCAACACATCATTTTCAGATTCATGTCCAAACCAAACCCAACTAATTGACTAAGTATATTTCAATAAAAAATAAATAAATAGAAGATACAGCATTATAAGAAGAAAATATAAAGGACCACATGTCTGTTTATCAGACAAAGGATTACAAGAACATTAGTAGAAAATGTAATCTTTCAGTTTCATTGTATATATGCCTCAGCATTTTAGCCTTTGTTAGTTTTGTAAATTCTCTGGCTTTCCAGCCTTCTTAATTTTATGTGTGCAAACTCTTAATGCAAATTTTCAATGCTACAGTTTAGGCAAAGTCTTATTTAAGTTCTACTTCCATTTACAAAGAAATACAAATATATGCCCACAAATAATAAGTATGAACTATAAATTCTTACCTTAGTTTTAAAAAACAAGATTTATACTTTCACTAAAATGGGTTTGAACTACAAATCTGAACAAAAAATGTTAGAGCAGTACCACCATACACCATATTACAATTTACAGGCAAAAATATCTGTAGTTACATCAGTTACGCTGTAGATTATGTACCAAAATGGCATTAAGTAAGCTTATAAAGAAAATAACCAATACTGAAATGGAACAACAAGCAATGAGGAAGGGTAACAAAGAGAGCATGTTTCAGTTGCATAGCACAAACATATATAATCTTTGCAATTTGATCTGTAGCAGAACACAATGTAAACAATTATTAATTTCTTAGAAATAAAAATACAGAAAATTGAAACAACTCAAAAGGAGGTAGGGATGTTCAATAAATTTCATATACAGCTGTCAAAAGTAGTGTGGTAATGCTGAACTGCTACTCTCCAACAAACCTGAGGTTTCACTACAAATGCGCAAAAATTATACACTTCCAGAAAGAACTCTAGTTTTAAATGGAAGGTACCTGCATGGCATACTGGAAGTATCAGAGAAAATGCTGATGGGAAGTATACACCATTAGTAATAAAATCATACTTGAGTAATGCCAGATTTGTACTATTCAAATTATTTGATTACTTGTATAAAATATTCCTCATGGGACATGTAACACTTAAAAAAAAAGTATGTAGAAGGTTGGCAATATGATTATACATTACAGTCAAAGGCAATTACTTATCTCTAAGAGTAATATATAACATCATTAACATCTTACTTAAAGTTAAATGTCTGGCTCTCAATCTTCATTACTTAAGAAATCTTGGGAAGTTAACATTCCTGTCTGTGTGTAGTCATTCTTATATTGGAATGACAGTTATGTCTTGTAGATGCACTTCTTTAGAAACATGTGATTGTCAAGGAAAGTTTATTTATATCATACACAACTGGAATGGTAAAATGTAAGTCACTAAATTGGTATTAACATGAAGTTTACATTGTCTTACATTATATGTTAAGGTGGCCTACCTTCAGTATTTCATATAAACATAAAAAACAAGATATAAAGTTACAATGAGTTTCAATAGTAAATATAATTGATGGTTAATGTCAAACTATGGGTAAATGAGTTGGGGAGTATTTCACATAACCACCATTTTGTAACTAGTATAGACATGGAGCAGGAACAGACTACTTTTGGACCTTGGGACAACTAATTATCTGTCTGGTTGTCACTCTTTTTCTTACTTTCATTTTCAGTCATTCTGGACCTTTTGTAACTCTCATAAATGTGGGGAAGCATAGGACTAAGTTACAGCAGTAGCTTTGTCCCTGAAATTAATTACAGAAGGTGAATACCACTATCCCCACCCACAGCCTCATCAATTTATTGTTGTTGGTTTGCAATGAAGGCTTAGAAATAATGGTCCCATAATAGTAAAGTACTACCCTCTAAACTGTTCTGATGATCAGTAAGAGTTCTACCCACATGTGCATTGCCTGTTAGGTCTCTGAACTGGCACTGTACTTGTGATACATTTCATATATTTTTTAAACTTGAATGGCCTTACCAAATGCTCGTTTGACTATTTTATTATAACAGATTAACCTAATAAAAGAGAAGTGAACCATGGATTTTACTTCAATTAATGCTGATTCTGCAAAATTCAATCTATGCAAGCAAGAATTAAGTTACAAAAATGTCTCAAAATTGATATTTATTTTTAATGCTTGGCTGGTAATTGACCTCGTTTGGCTATTGTCAAGCACATTAAAAAAAACTGAATTCAAACATCTGGGTTCTTTCCTCAGGGGTAAAGTGGCCAGGTTATGAAACTAACCACTACCTCCATCTAGTATGAGGTTAAGAATACATGGAGCTCTACCTCCACTCCTACATACACCTCCATGGTGTGGTGTTTAATTTGGTACAAGGGATAACTTTACTTTACCTATATCTTGTACTAAGACTACTGTAAAGATAGTTCCCCACATAAAACAGGAACGATACAATGCCAAAACTTAATTCTTGTCAACAAACTGTAATCTGTTCACTTACATGCACATAGATATTTATACCATTTTTATGTTCCTACATCAGACTACTCACACTGTGATTATGTGTAAGAAAAATAGTTGATTTAACACATTTTAAAAAATAAAAATTGAAACAAAGCCCATTAGTATAAATGAATGCTTGCTGAGAATTTGTTTGCCTAATCATAAAATAAATTAGACTAAGGCTAGTGGGACACTGGTTTTCAAGCCATGATAATGATAATGTGAAATGTTGAATTACAGTCAATAATATGCCATCCAAATTACATAAGCCTGTAAATCACTTTTATCTGGGTCAAAACTTCAACCTCCAATAAATAATTCTAACTTAATTCTGAGTATCTTTAACTTTGAGTTCAAGTATTCCAGATATACAAGCCTTGTTCACTCCTAAATTATCATGGCATTAAGAAGTACATGTGCTCACAGTAAAATCTGTAGGCTTGCCACCCATAGAATTTCAGGCACTAAATACATACAGTGGAACCCCGTATTTACACTTTCCTTAAAAATGGCATAAATTGCAAAAATCATAAGGTTTAGTACTTACCTTCACTCTAACTCTTTACTATAATGCTCAGCAAATACATAATGTAGATAAATTATTCAGTAATATATGAACACTTTTACAACAAGTAATTCCCAGAAAGTAAATTGTGTAAAATGAGCAATAAAATAATTTGATATCTTCCACAGTGATTTACATTTTCTTCAGTGACATTATTTTTTTACTATTGTATTCAAAGCTGATACTAATACAAGTTGTTTTACCAAATAAATACGAGTCCCTGCATGTTTGACAATATACCATCGTAAGATGAGTTTTTCTGCTAAGGAAATGGTTTTACTTTCCTTTTGTGTTGCCATCATGCCTTATCAAACATGCAAATAAAACAACTACAGCACACGCACCACATTCAGCTAACGGACAAAATAATAACAGCCAACATGAAAGGTTTCCCACATCAAAAGGTACAATAATGCTTGCAAGATGGTGACCAACTTGTCAGAGTAACCAACTTTTTAAAAGAAAAGCTGAATGGCCACAAAAAGTGGAAAACCTGGAAAATCAAAATTAAATTGTATATTTTTCAAGAACAAAATGCAATGACATTATAGGAAAATTAAAGGGAATGAAAAAAGATAATGTAAATTCAGGAAAATGTACATTCTGAGAATGTAAATACGAGGTTTTGCTGTATTTGTTCTCTTGAATAATACAACATATTATGCAATTATAATATGGCTGTGATCATACCGATTCATAAATTATACAGCATAATACAAGACATATGTGCTTTCAAAATGGGATTCATATTTTGTTGAGAATTACTTCAGTTCTAAAAAACTTACCTTGTTACATATGAACATTTTAAATATGAAAGAAATAGACTGTAATGTCAGAATGAAACATTTTACGAAATAAGTTCAGTATATCAATGTGTATCAGAAAATAAATAAACATATGCTAAAGCATTACTTTTGTATAATATTTCCTGTTTTCTAATTATACAGTATGGTGAACGATAAACTTTGTTACCTATACCGGCTACATTCATATCTTTTAAACAAATAATATGGCTGAAACAATCACACTTGGCCTGAATAACTGGTCTTTGCTATCCATAAATAAGAATCATTACATCAATAAGATCTCAAATTCATACCTTTTCATAAATTGGATGCCTAAACAAAATAAGAATTTCTGTTAACACACACTACTGAAAACAATTTCGTGTATCAATCAGTCTAAACATTCTTATTTTAGTTCACCTATTACAACAGTAATTAATACCTCATTCTGACCACATACTAGAAGGATGATGGAAATACATGACCATTACTTGATAAAACCGTTTCATAGGGCTGATTCTACTCGACAGCTCCCTTTATCATCAGAGCGAATACTGCTTGGATGTGAATCAATGCTGACAGCATCTGAGTCATTGCTGCTGTGTGGACTAGAGTAATTGGCTGCTTCCTGGAGACGCATCAACATATTCAACTACAAACAAAATCAAGCCAACAATTAGGTGATATTTGTGTTCTATGCTGCATACTGATAGTATGAGTGACTAGTAAGGTAAAATAGAAACATGTGAGGACAGATATAAATCACCTGGAAGTAAAATAGAAACATGATGTGAGGACAGATATAAATCACCTGGACGTGTTTCTGTTTTCTTTTGCCAACACTTCAAATAATGGGAAAAATTTGACATTCTAAGCTCAAAACTTATAATTAATTACATTAATAAGCATGTATGGTGTCCATGTGGTATATCAAATGAGAAAATTATTGGGACTGAGAAGACATCTGAGAAGTGGTAAAAATGTTTACTTCTTTCTGCAAGTCACTATAGTGAACACTTTTACTCTCAATAACCTTACCAATACCAACAAAACATAGCAAAAGTCGCTCCAAGTGATCAATTTGGTGGAAACTCATGCAAGAGTGAGCAGAATGTGGAATTATAATGCAGTACAACCTACCATATAACACTTCCCTGATGAAAAAAAGCATTAGGCATAATAAATGTGTTGTGTGTGGGAAGGACTGAGGCAAGACCAATAACATTTAAATCATACAATACACACATGTAAATGTATGATCTTCCAGTGTGCCACTCCCTTCCCCCCTCAACAACAAAGGTACACTGAAATGAAAGATAAATAAGAACTGTTCCATTTATGACAAACCTGTGTAAATAATTACATTATATCAGTTTGCTTTCATCAAACATTAACACATTCTTTAAATATCCCACCAATAATTTTACATTATTTAAGATTTACAAAATACACCACAAATGCATTCCAAAACCTAATAAAGTTAGAAGATACACTCACCAGGGGATCACCATCTGTGTCACTCTGTGTGGAGCTCATAGACTTGATGCTACTGCCTCCCACACCTCCACTTTGCTGTATGTCATAACCAACATCCTCGGGTCTTAATCTGTAACAGAATACATTCTTCAGAACACAAGAAGCTACAGTTGAGTAGAGTAAATTTTGTAAAGACAAACTTCATGATTAGTAATCTTTGCTAAGTATTGTTTATAAGATTAAAGAGAGACAAGACAAATACAGATTGGCCCGAAATATACCCACCAAATTTAAACTCATTTTCCTCCACAGTGAGCAGTTATAATTTGAAGAAATTTTGCTGACACACTGTAGTACTCAAGTCATTTGTTTTTATTCAATTTTGTAGATACCAATAAGTGGCAGCCTATAGTACTGAGCATAGAATATTCATCAAAAAAGAGTGCACTCAATCATCTGAAAGCCCATAAAATGTCAGAACAGTAGTCCAGATAAAGTTTTGCATCAGAGATGGACCAGAAAGACATACAATTTCAAACATCATCATAAAAAATATAAGAAGTAATAAGTATTTTAAATCAGTTCTTAACAATCACCATACAGGACTGTATTATTTTAAAACTTAGTTCAAGAGCAAGCTACTTCCAAAAAAATATAAAACTAAATAAATTGTCCATTATTATGGTAACACATGGCACAGTTACCAGATGCCAATTTTTCCAGGAACCTGATAAATACACTTGTTTCTTTCATGCATTTGTCTTCATTCACGTGCCCCTGTTTCTGAATAAAACAGAAGTTAAAAGAAAGCCTTCCCTAATAGTCAGGTTAATACAGTACTGCCCTTATGTTTGATGCAGTAACCTTCCAAAAGACCTGAGTATGTTACTGACCTGAGCAGAGCCTCATGACCTCTATGCACAGTGTCTCCTGTCCAAGGGTATGTCTGACAGATGAAATAAGCAGGGTCCTCCCAGGGAGCCCGTCGTCCATACAGCTGAAGCCCTTCACGCACAGCTTCTAGCAAATATGGGACTACTGAGTAGTTCCACAGATCAGTAAACCACACCTGAGATCCATCTGGGTCACTTGGACAAGACAGGAACAAACGAGGACCTGTAACAAAGGAAGGAAGAATTTAAAAAAACATAATGTAAAATCATAAATACAGTAGTGGAGTGAATTTTGTCTCAAAATCGCAAACAAATCAATTTTACAAACATACTAATTCCCAGTTCAACACCAACAAATCATCAACCACCACTAGCATATTAAATTACCAAGAAGTAATTAAAACCACTAGTATACATAATTACCACAAAGTCACACCCAAATTTGGCACATCTTATGATGTGAATACACCATAGGAATCTTTATTGGCCAAGCCTTTGAAGTTTATCCAAGACGCAGGCATCACCAGGGTTTGGGATTATAGGGGAAACCTCAGAAACCCCATTACAACAAACAGTGGACTAAACACACATAAGCAGTGGCATGGCTCCTTCCCTAAATGGGTCTGGGTAATGCAGTTATAAAGGTTCATAACATTCAACAGTATAATAAACATAAAATGCACCTACACCTGCACTGAGCCAGAAACATTCTCTAAAATATCAGATTGCAAACTTCAACTATTTTCCAAGCAGATATGAAGTAAAACAGCAATTTCAAAAAATGAAAGTTGCAACAGTCATGAAGTGTAAAAAAAGAACACAGTGAAATGAAATGATAATTTATCAGCTGACAGAAATTAAACTTCTACAAAAACCTGCAAGTACCAAAAAACCATATATAGACATGCAACACATCTGTGACAAAAACCTGTATCATAAATGTATTCTGTATTGAGTATTTCTCACCAATAGTGACATCTGATGAGCTGTGAGTTTCAAGGAACTTGTTCAGGTGCTGCCACACCTTTGGAATCCAGTCAAAGATGCGATTCAGATCATTGTTGCGTATTCCCTCCTGAACTTCCGCTTCCAACAAGCGTCGTCGCAGGAACCGACCAAGAAAACCCTTTACGGGCTCCATGTGGTTTGCACATAAGATCCACCTGCAAAAGACATCATTTCATGTCAAGTCAACAGTCCAACCTTGCCATGATCTGAAGCAGGGGGCTTGCTAATCAGGGAAAGGTAAAACAAGCACCTGAAATAAAGTTCATATAAATTATTAAGAACAAACAGAAAAAGAGAAAATCTGAAACCAGGTGATTAGGCAAGATCCCTAAGAAAAACCAGAGACAATAAAGATAATGATAAAGAAATGTGTTACACACAAATGGAAAATGACAAATTACAACTGAGGAGCCCAACGAAATGGTAGGAATAGTGCAGAAGCAATGCAAAACAGAGTATAAAATGGGCACAGACAGAAAAGTGCTTATGGCAGGACAAAGAATACCGGAGAAGACCTGTTATAAGATGATCCACTGTGGTAGAAATGTGAATGATTATTGATGACTTCAAATACAGAAATTAAAACCCAATATACATTTTATTGTCCTTACTACAACCCAGTAACTCAATATGACATAGAATACCTAAAATTGTGATGCAACTGCAGGTTGGTGGTGGAGCATGTTGCTTGATTCATGGTTCCTATAATGTAAGGGCACTTGGAATATTTTGCATTCAGGAAGCCATTGAACACTTCCCCGAGAGAAGCCGCATGATGGAGATTGTCCAATATGATCACAGAGGGAAGGTCCAATGCATTATTTTCACACTGCTCTGCTACGTTGGCAAGATACTGACGCAATTCTTTGCTGCTTTTATGGTCCACACTGAAACACAACATGGTTACAAAAAGTTCAATGGCAAAGCATACAGGAATTCTTGACTTCTCAGAATGTTTATCTACTGCTTGGAATTTACTTTTGTATTCACTTATGCAATTAAAATACTGGGACAATAACAAATCAAAATAGAAGACAACAAACCTGGATATACACTGTCTGATGAAACATAGCACAGTACTGGACACAGAAACTAATGTGTCTCAAACTTCACATGGCATTGCATTCACAGCATATTGTAATGCTACATGGCATTTGCAGACAAAAAGCAAATTATATAATTTCATGTCATATTTTAGACACTGATTGCAGTTTTAATAGTTGTACTTTGTTTTAACAGTGTGATTATTTTAAATGTGTAAATTATTGGGATCAATTATCTTAGGTCAAACAGCTCATTACTTCTGTGATTAGACTATACAGAACACATCAATGATGAAAAAGTAGGCCAAGTTAATGTAAAAAACTTTAGCATACATTTTAATCAAGATAAACCCCTGAAGGTGACTCAGCAGTGCTGAAACATGCTGGACTATAAATTATTGTATATTTGGATGATACACAAATGATATGTTGCACATTATTACATCTGATATCAATAAACACCTGAATGCACTCGGCTCACGTAGTCTAATCATAGCAAAAATAATGTTTATGACTTGCACTAAACATAAGATCCAATATAGTTCATTTCTTATATTACAAACTTACTTAAATGTGGCTATTGATTCGGCTGTAGACTCCTTCCCATCACGAAGTACAAGAAACTCTGCTAGTTTATTGGCAAGATAGGACTTCCCAGTGCCACTAGGACCACAAAGGATTATTCTCCTATGTTCACTCAGAAGAGAGACATATCTGTGAATTGGAAATTCCCATCACTACTTACAAGGCTTCAGGATTCTCAGTCTGACATTACAATGTCTAAACTTAAAAAACTTGCATTAAAAGTAAAAGTTAAAAAAATATATATATATATATCAATCAATCAATCAATTAACACATGAAATGTACTAAAGAGTGGAATTTCACAGTACCTTTGTACAATTGACTTAGGAATCAGTGTTTCAAAGGCGAGTGCATCTACACTGCCACTGTGCAGAGCACCCTTCAGGCAGACATGAATACTGTTTTGCGAGTCACCAACCAGATACCCATAAGGCAGTAGTTCAGGCACTTGACTGTCCTTGTATCGTACAACCTCTCCTATGTGATAGCTCCAAATTGACTCTGCGCTTAAGCCCAAGTTTGACACTGGATCTACTCGCAGAACATACTCCTGCAATAGCAAACAATTCAAGTCACTACAATCATAGATTTTAAATTTCTGTTTCAGTATTTTGATACATGGTTACTCTATTACAAATACAAAGACATTCATACAACTGAAAGACAGTAAATTTGCTCTTATATTCATCTGATGTTTCCTGCAAAAGAAAAGGTATCTTGTATATAAAATCCTTTTGCCTCTCCACTTTTTTCAAATTATCCATTTTTGATCTGTTTTTTTGGCAAACACAACTGGATTTTTCATAGTGCATAAACCAAACTATTTTCACAACCATTTTGTTCTGTGACCATTCAATGGATAAAGCTAGCGCTATGAGGCACCACAATGGAAAATAATAGGGAAGATTTGTAGTAATGTCACATCCTTTTGCACTTTTGATACCTCTGAAAAATTGGGAATAATGTTCATAAGACTCAGAATAAATAAGCAATTTCACTATTTTAGTCAGGCTTATTTAAAGAAAGCCCAATAAACAGCAACAGTACAATAAACACTGGTAAAGCTTAGTAAAATCATAATTGTCATGATGGAGTTAGCTCATTAATCTGGATACTGTTAAGTATGAGGCTTTGATGTAGACTGCAATTTGCTGTACCTTGAACACTCTCCTGATAAGGCAATCCAACATGTCCCATTTTGTCTTCCCACTCAGGAAAAGTGCTGCAATCATACAAGATGATGGAGCGTTCCCTTCTTCTATATATTTATGGTAACTGCCATGGGAGCCGAGGAAAACTGAAACTACAACACGCTTTCCTTCTGGGTCTGAAGGTGAAGAAGAAAAAAACATGGTTAATTTAAATTTTAAAAGATAAGCAGGACCATAAAATCAGAAGCATGCTTTTAGATGCTATAAAGCTGAAGAAACAGGCTTGAAATCAAATAAGTTCAGGCAAGCACTTATGTCGACTTCCCTTCAAAACTAATGATCAGTATACCAAGAAGTATAAATAAATAATGATAGCTCAGTATAGTGACTAGCTATGGGCTGGACGACTGGGGTTTGACCTCCAACGGGGCAGGGGCAGAGCGCGGCTGGGCCATAATGCTGACCACTCACCCCCACCTAGTGCCGAGGTCAAGAAAGAGTAGGAGCTATACCTCCGCTCCCCTCAACTGACCTATATGGGCTGTAGTGGGACAGCTTTAATTTTTTTACAGATTCTGGGTACATTAAATTCATTACATATAACCTTCAGTTTTGTACTGTCACCATGTTGTTATCATAAACAAAAGTTCACAGAAAACTTATAGGTATATTTATCATCCACCTCCATACAAAAAATCACATGCCTAGCATCTATGGTTCATCATCACCATCAAACTGATAGAAAATAAAGATAACACAAGCCTATCTTATCAAATTGGTTATTATTAAATGGCACACCTGCTGGGGGTGTTGATGTTTCGGTCATGCTGAACCTTCTTTCCAAGCTGTCTGTAATAGGGAGTGAACTCTGAGAAGAAGTCAGTGACTTGCTTGTAACGATTCGTTGCAGCCGTTCGTTATCCTGCTTCAGGTTTAGCATTTCATTCTGTAAATAAACGGCAAACATAAAAGTGAAAATGCTTTGCTCAAGCAGCTACAAAGCTCAAAGAAGACATACATACATACACGTGTGTGTGTCTGCTTATAGCTCCAGAACAGATACACTGAATTGCACCAAACTTGCATGCATTTTGTACATGCTGTACAGAACACAACTTATGTGTTCTACTGTTTTGTGTTATGACCTAATTGCAATAAAGACACTATATTTTACTTTGCGTTTGCATAATAGTTATGTTCTTTAGCATACGTTTCTGGTGTATATATGCCTTTAAGCTATGGTCAGTGTTGCTGACGTTCCTGCCTGCCTCTGTTTCTTTTTTCAATCACTAAACTAAACTGACTACCACCATACAACTGTGCCGTCTCATGTTCCTCGTACTCACCCTCATTTTGATCACTGTATCTTTAAGGGATTCCAGCTGATGTGCAGAACTAAGTGCTTCCAAGCGTATATCTGTGAGAACAAGATCTTTTTCTCTTAGCTGCTTCTTCAGCTCCTCCACCACGTCAGGTCGTGCTTCATGAGGCTCCTTATCATAGATGCTTGAACCAAACAAACAAACAAAGTTTTCAACCTATAAACTGCCCAATCAGTAGATAAACAAAATCAGAATATTAAATACAGACTAGCAGTGCTAAAAAAATATGGTCACCCACTTGCTCCCAGGCTACTTGATTTCGTAAGGCAGTGAGCAGTGGTTCATAATATTAGTTTCTTATATTATAGGAATTATTTTATTTTATTTCACCTTGCAGAAAATGAAGCCTGCATATGGTTAACATCACTTAAAACACATTTTATAACCTGAAATGGTAATTGTAACAAAAGCACTGCAGTACTTACGCAGACGATGACTGGCTTCCTTTAATTTGACTTCCATTCATATGATGTGGTGCACTCAGAAGTGGGGAGGAAGGAGCTGAAACATCTGAGTTGAGTCCTCGAGAGTCTTCCACATCAGACACAGACCCATTTTTATTTTTCTTCGAACGTGAAAATGCTTTACTGAAGGAGCTACGCAGCTGAAAGGACAGATACTTGGAAAATGATTCATGCTATGCTCACAACAGTAGGCAATTTGAGAACACATTTAATCATACAAAGGACAGCCCAGTAACACATGCAAACTGAAGAGTGATGGAATCACTGTGTATGTAATCAAGAAGACAGAATTATGAAAACTGGAGGAAGGGCAGAAAACAATGCAATAAAGTGACACATTACATATTTATATAAAAGCATGAATGGAATTAACCATTATCAGTTGTACATCATGGCTTACACATGGTCCAGCTGGGCATATGTCACAGTGGCATACTGCTAATCTATTAAAACCCAGAGCCAAGTCCACCAGCAGCCTTGTAGTACAGGAATTTAAACCCCCTATTCCCATATGACAAACGTTAAGAGGTATACTTGAGAAAAGGGGCCTACTTCCAGAATGCCATGGTATTGTGAATAGAGCAGAAATTACATTATAATTATCTTTAATAAAAATTCATGTAGCTTAATGATTTAGATACACAGAAAGAAAGGAACAAAAGACAGAAATAAAGAAAAATTACAGATTTGTATAAAAGCATAAAGAAAGGTTTGGTCTTCCTTTCTTTATGAACCACAAAGACATCGGAATCAAACCTGAGTTCCAATGAAGCTGACCTTGTCATAAAAAATTAATAATTTACAAGTATTCAAATACTGAATTAATTCCACATAATTAATGTAACTGTAAAATAATTGCAAATGTATATTATATTCAATAAAGCTTCATTACCAGCACTAAAAATTTGTCTTATACCAAATTTTTTAATCTTATTTATGATGCAGGCACATGGCAAGATAGAAATGGCATAATGCAATACTTACCCAACCTTTCTTCTTCTTTTTGCTGACAGAGGTAGTAGAGTTGTCGGGGACATGAGCAGAACTGGACAGACTACAGGCTGATGACAATGAATTGATGCTTGATACTGAATCTGTGGACAGCTGGCGTAACATGCTGCCCCCATCTGTAGAGTGCAACAGCATACCAGATAACAATAAGATCCGAGAAGACTTATGACACACACTTCAATCACAATATTTCAAACTATTTTAATTTGAATGTTCTAAACTTAAAGAAAAAGAAAAGACGGGCAACTGTAGTATATAAAACAGGTGTTCACAGTAGTTAAAAGGATGTTGGGTAAAAATAATATGAATCTTCCCTCATTTGCTCTATATTGCTTTTTAATAGGCACAGAACCATGTCATGTTTAACATGGATGCTCCACTGAAAGATGCACCAAAGAATAGCTAATTTCTGTGGTGAAGTGGTGCTAAAACATATAGAAATTTATGAATACTTCAGTAAGGCAATAATTGTATGAGCCAAAGGAAAGTTCACAAATACGTAGAAAGATTCAAGGATGAAGGAGTACTGCAGTTCACATTCTGTATGACCAGTGACAGCAAAACAGGTTCCTTAAAACAAATGACTTGGTGTGATTCAGTAATGTCATTTAGCTTACTTTGTGCTCCAGCATTAATGTTGATGGTGTGTCTTCGAGCAAGAGACGGTGACATGCTTTGAATATGTGCTGATGTCAGTCCAGCCTCTACACTTTGTTTCCTCAGCAACTCAATTGTTTGCCGTAACTCTAACAGTTCAGAGTCCTGTAAGGTGATAAAAGCAATATTTCACAGAACAGCGCAAAACTGCAAAAAATAACTGAAATATTACAATAAACATTTACAATTCTAAAAGATTTTCTGGAGAAACCAATAGTTTAATATTTTATAAATCATTATTTACACTCTGATAGGAAACAGATATAATACAAGTGCTGCACGAAACATTTTCAAGACATGGAGTTGAGCTCGTACAGCCAATGGCCTGCATTGCCATCAAACATGTAGCAATGCTCCAGCTATAAGAGGAAAGTCTTTTCCATTCTACATAACCCACAATTAATAATACACCTTAGAATGCTGTAGGCTACTGAGTGATGGAAAATTTCATCTTGACAAAAAAAAACCACACAGCTGAACATTTTCAGGCTCTCATGGTAGCAAGCAAAAACGATGACCATCTTCTGGGATGTTGTGCCATGTGTAAGGTAGAAATTTACCAACATTTCAGGGATATTTATTGCCTCCATCATCAGGGCCCTGCACAGTCCAACACCACAGATGACAGCCATCTTCAACCCCCATACAGTACAATCAAAAAATAAGTGTCAAACTGTGGATTCATATCATTTACCTTCCTCTCAGCTGTAGAGGTGAGGTGCTGCAAGCGTTGTGTCATATTTGACAGAGACTGTTCAAAAGCAGATACCACGTGAGCCTGGAAGATACAAAATGAACAGATTATCGATTGTAAAACATATCTAAATTTGAGATTTGAGGTTTCTATGGCAGTGAAAGTTTGGATTGTGATCTACCTGGCTATGACACCACAAAATCCTGTAAGCAATTACAATTTTTGAGGAACTTGGTGCCTCCAAAATACTGATAACCATTAAGACTACAGTTTCATAACCCAGAAGACTACAATCTAAATGTATCAATTTACTGTGACTACTTCTCCTCTGAATAATTACATTCAAACAATAAAATAACCTCAATGACCACTACACCAAACATACACCAATACACAAAACCACGGCTTAGAAAATTATGCCAAGTCCTATTTGCCACACTAAAAATTAATTTAAATTTAAGAGAAGACATTAAATTTAAATACAATATACTGGAGTCACTCTCTACTTTCAATGTTCTGAAAATGTTAGCACAGTAAATAGGTAAACATACATTTGTGGAGAGTTGATTTGTTAGGGTATGGACCTTCTCCTGTGCATCCTGCAACTCACGACGCAGTTTCCTGATCTCGTGAGACTGTTTCTCCTCTGGAGTACTGTACAATGAAGATGCAGTAGACACTAGGCTAACTGAAGAACCATGAACTGAACAGAAGCAAATATTAAGGAATTTTAAATTAACAGAGAGGTATTCTTTTCACAGCACTAGACAAGACAAAACATTGTACACATCAACATTTTATATTAACATTATTATAATATTTAAATTCCACATGTCAATTACTTTCATTGAAGTGAAAAGTAAATACAGATTTTGATGCTTTCCATATTATTTTTATTATATCCATCACTATCATCATCATCTTTTAAGGTTTATGTTTCCAGGAAGGTGGATCATCCTGTAAACTCCCTTAAAAACAAAGGTTAAAAATTAGGAAATTAGTTTTAGGCAGGAGTTTGCATCACATTTAGAAGCAGTGATCCAATTCTCTACATTCATTCTTTTAGTTACATACTTGTAATTTTTATAACTTCTTTATACAGCTTATCCTCATACACTTCTAATACCAAAACTTGATCAGCTGTAGAGCTTTGCATTAGAGGAAACACAATTATAACAAAGATGCATCAGGAGTTAGTCAAATTATATCCCAGTTTTTACTTAAAAACAATTTCTAGGTTTCAAACTGAACAAAAAATATTCTGAAAATATTCAATTTATACTTACTCTCATCATCTTTGGAATTTGTTTTTGAAAGTAGACCTGAGTACGGAGAGACAGTGATTCGACTCAGCCCATGACTAGACGCAGATGTCGTGATTGGTGAATAATTGAACCTGAAAATTTATAATTTTCAATAACAAACATGCACTGACAGAACAGTCTAAAATCTAAAAGGAAGCCTGTTCTGTGATGAAACAGTTTAGTCACAAAGTATGGCTGAATGAGCTACCAATATTCATATTTAACATCTGTTAGCATATGAAAGTAATATCCAGTGGTACCAAAGTTGTTATTACAGTCTCTTTGGGGTAGTACAGCTATCTAAACAATAATGCTAACTTTATTTATGTAACTAGCAATTTTCATGCATATTTATTACCACTTTAAATAATATTTCACACAACGCATAATGAGATGGAAAGACACACCTGGAGGCAGCGCCCTGGGACACCTGGCTGGGTGTTGGACTAGTGGGCTGGGAGGAGTGGCTTACTGTGTTTGAACACATGGGAATCCCATAATATGGATCCAGTTCTTCTGAGCGCTGAAGCATGGACGGGTACATCTTCTCAGATTTGGTAGATCTAGAACATTGAAATGATTTTCACCCCAGAACCCATCATAAACCAGTCTATGAGAGACATCTGATGTAATATTTGTTTTGGTAATATTATGACAGCAATATCAGCTGATAATGTAGTATATGTCAGAAATGGATATGTTTCTTGAAAATATCACCTTCAAATTCTTTTGTTGGCACACTACCAAAAACAAATGCCTTCTATAAAGACTCATTAAAAGGTGTATCTGTATAATTTTCAGCTGGCTGGCATGACACATAACCTCATCTTTAACAACCATTTATACAAAGAAAAGTGTCAAGTTAAAAAAGCAATATATCCTTCAAATTTGATACTACATGCTGATTTTAGATTGCAATTTTGTGATTCACACCATGCTCTTCTTTCTCCAGGCAGCAAATCTGTTTGCTATCTCTATCTCTCTCCATCTCAACATGGAACAGCAATGTTCTTGCACCACAAATGGAAGTCTCAAAGTTACTGCAGTTAACCTTTAAATGACGGGGATTTAAATGGCAAAGTGGTAGCAGCCCTACGGAGTTTTTTTTGCAGGTTTTTAAACTTTTGTGCACGGTCTACGGAAAACTTTAATATTATCTAAAGTAAACATGATAAATTGACGAAATAAAAGCCATATTTATTCGAAAAGAACAGAGAATACATAGAGTTTTTTAAAAATGCAGTTCATATCTTAATTGCCTAAATAGGCCTTAGTAACTTTACTTTCTTCTTTGGAAGCTCATTGGACATGGTAGAAGCCATGGTTATGAACTAATGACCACACAGAAAAATTTGTTTCCCCTACTTCAGTGGATACACATTCTTTTCAGAGATCATGCTGAGGAATGTGAGTAGCTTTGAATAGGGGGTCTGAAAACGCAGCCGAAACCCACTTGACAATAACAATGTTTATTGCTGTTTATAGTTCAGGTTGAACTTGTCAGAACCCTAGAGAAACTGATTCAATATTTGCAGCCCCTAAAAGATGCCAAAAGACATAGCCAAGTCTACTTACAATGTTGCAAGTTTTGAGTTCCGCACAAGGAACGTTTGTAGGGCTGAGTACACAACTTACGTCCCAGACAAGGAACACTAGTAAGATAAAGGTTAAATAAATCACTTTACTCTTTCCACCCTAACACCACTCATTGTCGTAGCTTGATGCATCAATTGTCTCAAAAGCAACATATATTTTCTCACAAAAAGAAAACTTTTCAAATGTTAAAAACTACAATATATTAAATGGAGTGTATAAAATAATGTAATAAACAGTATAGGATTCAAATAAAAAGAGATAAGCAAATAAAAGCTTGTTTTGTAATGTGAGCACCAGGAAAACATTCAACTATACAAACACTGTATTGTAACCACGAGCTCCCTAAAGATTTTTAAAGAACAAAGATTACACACATGAAGAAAAATGTATCAGGCACCTGTGACAGAATCAAGGCAAGTACAAGGGCAATTTTGATGTAGATACCTGATGCTGTTGCTACGATTGAGACGTGGGCCTGGGGACGCACTGCTGTCTCTCTGATGCATCAACAGGCGAGCATGGGTGAGACTAGCACGATGATGCTGCAGCTGTGCTGGCAGAGAGCACAGTGATTCAACACTGTCTGCTTCCACCAGGCCTGCTGCAGAAATACAGGTAAACAAGGCATAAGTGCTCAATGCACAAAGTAAAATAAATTATGTTTCCTCTATGGTTTACCAGTCGTTCATAATGATGAGGAGTGTCAATCTGTGCACTGAAAAAGAATTCTAAGAACAAGAGCTTACATTACTGAACCAGCTAACAAAACCCTTGACTAGTTGTGCATTTCTTTCACAGCTTGGGAAAGGTCACGTCATTCTTAAGCAATGGTAAATAAGTTAAAAAATTTCTGCCACTCTAAGACACCCGTTTTCCAGAATTTCAAATAACACACATAAACCATGGGGTGGAAATGTGGAAAGTATGTTCATCAATCTGCTGGCCTGATGATTTTGTTTGTTCAATACAGGGGAAAACTGATTAATCTTTCATAGTCAGCATTCTATTTGACAATTTTAGGTTAAGAATTGCAGTGAACAGACTATACAATTCTCTGCACTTTAAAGCATTTAAATACCAATTTAATCTAACCACAAGACTGTGATAGGACATTTCCATATCCGAAAGGTTAATCAAGTTTCCATTTTTCACTCATTTTCTTCATTTATGAATGTAAGTCACTTCCTAGTTTTGAATGAAGAAGAAAAAAAGAATGGTAATCTTAAGAGAATAATATGACATCGTCTCCCGCAATGATCCAGGTTTGCTGCAATAAGTACCGAAAACTACTTACCTGCACTTGCTCTGGCTGGTAATGACGATGTGTATGCGGCACTATATCGTAGCCATGAACTGTAGGGGCTGCTATTGGCACAGTAGTTCTGCAAATCTGCATAATTGGAATAGGTTGTATCTGAGAGGGAGCCATCTGTGGGTCGATGACCTCGTTGCTGACCTCTGTGCGAGTGGAACAGGGCTGCATGTTCACTGGAGCCTGGTTTTGGCAGGCTCTGTGATCCAAGCAGCAAACGGTCCCGCACGCTCTGTGACAGCTGACTGGCCGAGGGGCCGGTAAGAGAGTACGACTTGAAGTGATGGGGCTGTGGTTGTTGCTGTTGCAGATCACTTGTGCATGTCTGTGTGCCACCAGATACTTTCACTTTTGTACGAGGCACTGCAGACACTTGGGCAGTACGAAGCTCACTTTTGTTGCCAGCACATCCATTTGTTGAACGCTTCACATAGCCAAAACTCTGTGGAACACCCCTCACCTTACTCTGCTTTCCTTCACCATTTGAACGCAACCCTGAAGAACCATGTGGAGATGCTCTGTCAGTCTTCGGCTGCTGTTTCTCTGCATTGCCACAATATTCCTTTTCCTTGCTTGTTCCATCTTCTTTTACACCTGTATTACAAAGTACGAGATAAACTACGTAGGAGAGGACAACAGCCAGCTTAAAGACTTGAATAAAGTGGACTTTAAAATTAATCACAGTTCATGAAACTTGAACAATGCAAATACTTCTATAATATAAGTACAGTACCAGTACTACAAATTTTACCAAACTTTAGTTGAAGACTCAAAAGACACATTGAAGTTCATCTCTGCCATTTATTCCCCTCCTTAAAATAATTCAAATTAAAACAGAATCAAAAGAACTTGAGAATATTTAGTATTTGTTTTAGGTACGACTACACTATGCACATTGTAGAGACTATGCAATGTCTGAGAGGGGTGTAAAGACAACTGCTCTGCCCATATCTCTTACCCAGTGTCCTACGTGAGCGATTAAATGCGAGTGGTGCGAGTTGCGTGGGTGAAGCGGAAATATCAAACTGGCTCTTTGTGTGGCGCTGTCCTAGGTTACAGCGAAGCGGTCAGCGGCCAAAGTCCGAGATCAAATATTTTCGTGTGAGTCCCTGCGCTGGCCAGTAAGGCGCATGCGCAAGAAAGCTCTGACCGTGCAGTACACGAAGGTGTATGCACAGGAAGGCTGTGTGCTTCTATTGCAGTCTCTCACGTAGGACACAACAAGCGATTCCCTTATGTCATATGACACCCCATGCTGCTTATGCAGCTCGCATAGCTCGCTTGTTATCGCTTACATACGACATTGCCTTATACTCATCATCCGAGTCTCCTCCACAACCATTAATTGCGAATGGAAGATTCTGAGCAACCAGGCTCAGTGGTCTACTTATAAAAGAAAACTTATGCCAAACCGAGTTTTAAAGTGGTGATCACTGGGTTGCTATTTGGACACACCCTTAATGTGGCCGATTTTACCACTCCTTCCACTTGGCTTCTATCCCCTAAAACTGCCATACAGATGTCATTGTGGTTTAAGATAGAATTATATAGTACCTGGAATCAACAATTTTCCTGAGGGTGGACTAATTGTAGGCATAAACAGAATTTAAGACACAGGACCCAAATACAATTTAGAACCCAGACTCACTTACCAGGTCATACAATGCCAATCAGTGTTTGGGGTGGTTCCCCTTGTCCAATGGAGCTACTACAGAGTCAAAACACATAACGAAACCACAGTCCTGTACAGGCTTGCAGCAAGCAGCATCAGTGGAGAGAGGGGGACAGGCCAGAGAGAAGGTTGAGATACTGGGTAAGCTGCAATAACTTTAACTGAACTGAGGTTTGGCACAGTTTGAGACAATGGTCAAGCAGGTTAAGCCCTGTTATATGCAGTTGGATGGCCAGGACAAAGCCAACACAAGGATTTCAATTTTGTTTCACAAGCCTAAAATTCTGAAAATATAATGTGTTGCAAATCATCCTGGTTTCCAACTAACCCATTTTCTTCTGCCGGTCGGCGTTCTTGTCAGGCTTGCGAGCAAGCCCATTGCTACTGGCACCTGGGCTACAGCCTGATCCCCGCTTCTCTCCTTTCTGCTGTCTCACCACCTCTGGGTCCGTCTTACCACGGTGCAACTCTGGTACTCGACCTCCTCCATTACCATTACTTTCAGCATGCTTCTTTGCTTGGCTGCCAGAATTTTGTCTGCAATCACAATCATTTCTGAAGTAAATACACATATTCAATAAAATCATAAATATTTCAGATATAAGAGCCATTATGATAGTTTCTGACTTTATTAATGGTGATGGCAATAAAGCATCTTCTCATTGCAGACCTTTCTGAATAGGAAATGTGCCAAATGGATGCTCATGTATATGGAATTTAATAAAATGTTCTGTTCGAACGCCACTGCTAAATATAAGACTATAAAACCTACCTGAAAGCACTGTTGTCTGTCTGCTGGCTGCTGTCTGATTTCTTGACATTTGACCGAGACCCAACAACTCGGTATACTACTTGGGTTTGATCAGATGGATTGAAAGGTGATGGCAGGGGCTTCTGAGCACCAGGCCCTTTGAGGCACCCCCCAGGCCCACCTTGCACCAACCGCTGCAATAAACATCTCGTTCCTAAGCTAAGTCTGAAGGTTTCTGACAATGGTGTATTACAGTATGTACAATTGTTCTTTTGGACCTTGTCCATTGTCTAAATTGTAAAATTATAAAACTACAATGTTTTGGAAACTGGATTCTGCTTCTGTCTTGAAGCATGAAAGGAGGGAAGAGGACAGAAGTCCATCTGTTGGACTCCCTGGTTGAGCTGGCCTCAAACCAGGTCCAGTCAATAATTTCAAACACAACACACATTTTCATAATGACTTTCTTGACCAGTTGCATCAACCACCAACATAGACACACTCTTCTACTGACCTTGTTATGGGAGTGGCCAGGGAGGTGCTCGTCTGCAGACAGTTCGGAAAATATCTCCGAAACGCCCACAGATGCTGACCTATTATCATCCAAACTGCACAAGAGAAAATTTATTTAAAGACGCTATCCCAGAATTTGCCTAAAGAGAATCAAAACAAACAAACATGACAAACCTTAGGCACAGCAAAGAGCGCCCACTTTAAAATTTGAACCAGGTATATTGTGAGTACAAATCTAGAGTCATTTCCAAATATGGTCAGAAAATCTTAATTACATTACACATATATATATATATATAATAACTAAAATTACTACTCTTTCAATCAGTGACATTTTTCTTCTCTTTTCGCAAGCTCTTTGGAATATGGAAATGTCCGACAAATTAATCTGTATGCCCTCATGCATATTTTGATGACACATGCCACAAGCATGCCAATCATTGCAAAAACACTTTCAATGGCAAATATTTCACAAAAAGCCAAAAACTAAAACAAATGTGATGTTTATATAAATGGCATGGTAGTCCAATTACAAATATGGTCAATCCAAATACATCATCATCATCTCACCATATACGAGGCTTTGGTCTGGTAACAGCTCTTCTTAGTAATGGTTCACTCTTACCACTTGGATTGATGTTGGCAACAGAACTCCTATGAAAAGAAAAATTTGTATTTAAAGTTTTGTCAACAATTTGCATCAAATGGACACGAGTGAATCAGAGGTGGCTAATTACTGTGTTCAAAACGTAACTTTTCTTCTTGCTTGCTAGATCGCATATAATATTGCAGCACATATTTTTTTTAGTTCTTTACATATTTATTAACATAAAAGCTGCACTTATTAGGAAACTTCTCGTTTGAATTTAATGGCACTGAATTGGTATACATTTCAACACAAGAAACAATTACGATAATAAAAACGAGTAATATTTTAACTGACTACATCCACGGAGGAGAAGTCCGTCTTGAGAAAACTATAGTCGTCCTGCTCGAAAGAAATTTCTCCGCCTTTTATGAAACCCGAAGTTCCATTACCGTATTCTCAGCAGCCCCTATCCTCGGCCAGAAGAATGCAGTAAACAGCTCACACCCATTTTCTTAAGGTCCATTTTACGTGTTTTGCGCTTTATCATAAGCGAATTACGTCTTACGGCCACATCCGTCTATCGAATTTTTCACAAAAGTGAATTGATCACATAGTATTATTGCCGAACGTACAGTGCCAACAGCTGGAGAAAAACAATAACGTTGCGTCTTATCTAATCTACAGAGTATAATAATTTTTGTACTTTTAATGTCTACCCCTTATTGTTATTATACCTAAAAATAGGAGGTCTACAAAACAATATACAATGCACTTCGATGAAATTTCGATGTCAGTTTCCGGCAGGCAAACCTTTGTTAAATAAAACAGTAAACCTCACTACAAAAACTAGTCAACTAAAATTACAATGTAAAACAAAACACTGCATGCAATTTGTCAGCTAAAAGGCAATCTGTATAACTTAAAAGACACTGACCTACAGACAATCTTAGAGATTCGAATCTTTGTCTGACTTGACGTCTCCGACAGAAACAACAAAAAACAATGAGGCATACACCTACCTAGAACAACTACCCGGGTTTCTAATTGCACTTCATTAACTTATGGTATTATCCTTCTATGTGTGTCAACCGAACTCCGTAGTAGTCACCGCATCACCCCCAAATCAATGCCGGGCAGGCCTCCCTCACTAACAGGCCTACCAACTCTGCTGGGATTTGCACAATTTCGGACGCAAATGGAAGCAGTGTCCACTGCATGACTGTGGGCACACTGTGGGCAGCGCGACATACAACGGGTGCTTCACAAACAATTACACAAAAGGATGACTGTAAGCAAGCACCTCTGAAACGTCGGTAAACTTCCACAAACCACACGGCGAAAAAATCCAGAAAAAAAGCCATCTTCATGCTCACCGGCGTGAGAACCTCAAATCTCACACGTAACTTGTGAAAGGTATCAAAACTATAATAAAAGAATGATAATGTAGCCACGAAGATCCACGGACAATTAGCACTAAATATAAGGTCCGGAGAAGATTCTCACAAATCACAAATGTCTGCCTTGAAAAACAATCATGCAGCATTTTATTCAAACAGAGAGAGAGAAAAAACTTCTAAACACGCCAGAAAAAGTTACAAAATACCTGACAGAATAAAGCAAGCGCTGCACCATAATAAATATTTAATAAATGGTTTACGTAACGACGCTGTCAGATAGCTCAAACTACCACGAAAAATCCGGTCCATTCCGAATACAAAGCAGAACGGCTAATCACTCAGTCGCAACGTTCGATACCAAAATTGAGTAAACATAGTCAAATACCTTCGAATTTCAATGAAACTGTCCCAAAAGAATCTTCATAGCACCACTAAACTACCAAATAATATTACATTCTGCTTAAAATGCCTTAATTCTTCAAATGGCAATATCCTATTACACCGTGTACAATTTAAAACGCGCCCCAACAAAAATCCCGCACCACAGCACAGAAATTGAATTAGAAGTACGTCCTCCGTGGCAGTTGAGTCTAGTTTACCCTTGTTGCTAGGACGCTCCTCACGCCAGTTGCGCAGAAGCTAAGCAGGCGCGAACACTGTGAATCATGAGCAAAACGTGTTCATTCTCAAACATTATTTGGCATCGAAATCCTTTCTGTGATTTTCCTCAGTCCCTCCAGGCAAATGCCGGGATAGTACCTAAAATTAGGCCATTACCGCTTCCTTCCACATCCTTTCCAATTCATTATTCACGTCGTTAAATAAACTATAAATAAAATACTGAATAAAACAATGCAACATTAAACCATAAAATGCATTATGCCAACTTGTTTATGGATGTAACACTAATAAATGCATAACAGACGGGCTTACTGATCACACTGCCAATGGCAAAGCTAATCCAAAGCGTCACTGTGGACCAACAGTGGCCAAGGAATTTATGAGCACCCTGTCGCACACCATTCCACCCACAGGAAATAATGAAATCTCAAGTATTTATTAATGCAGTCAACCTACACACGACCTTCACGATGCAGAATGTTAAGAACTGAGCGCGCAAGAGTTTAAAATGATGACCTTCACCTCAGAACCTGAATAGTTAACACACCCAGTCACAATACCCAAGTTTTCTGGAAAATATTTATTTGTTTCACGCCTTTTTTCAGTAACTCAGACTACAAAGATAATAGTAAATAATAAATTCGCAAGGATGTGGAATGAAGCGGTTGCAGCATAATTTAAGGTACTATCCCAGCATTTGCCTGGAGGGACTGAGGAAAATAACGAAAAACTTGTCAGGATAGCCGGTCTCCGGGCCTAGATTTGAGCCCGAGACCTCCCGAATACGAAGGAGTGATAACCACTTGACTACGACAGTCGGTAATTTTTCTGGGGAAAAGTGTAAACTTCCCCAAGGAATACAACGTTCATTTATAATTATGGAAATTAATGGCTCTTAACATTACATCAACGGATGATACTTTGTACAGCAGAATGATACGGACGGATTATACAAGAAGGATATTAATACCAATCGCAACATACTTTAAAGCACTATTTTGGAGTTTCATTATATAAAGTGACGAAAAGTACAACATTTCTCAGTTAGGTCCTGGGACAGGATTCGAATGAGGTACCCCCAATGCTGATGACCTTCATAATAACTAATTTTCGTCAGTGATAGGTAACAATTTTGATCAAATTTCCTACCGTGATATAGCCCCGTTTTAACCTACACTTGTAATTATCTCACACAAAATTTCAAATTGACTGACTTTGAAAAAAATACGTAAAAGGGGAATAAGGGTGTACGATTGGATCAAAAACTGGCCTTATTCCAGTATGTACTAGTAAAATGACGGTTGTAAAATCGATAGTCGGTAGCCTGCTGCAACAAGTTGTAGGAGTGTTCCAGTTTACCCCACACTGGCAACGATCTACATCAATTCGAACAGAAAAACCCAAAGATGTGCCACGGATATCTCGATAAAGTGCAAACTGCTTTGGGTTACAATAAAATAATCTTTTGCAAGGGACAGGATAAAACACGTGTCTGAAATTACAGCGTCGTCCATGTGTGTCACCTTACAAAGATAGAACCAGTGGATGAATTTAATGAAACTTCCGAGTATCGCGCAATTCGATGTGGCCGTATCTTCATACTGTATACTTCTCTACAACTAACACCGACATCATGGCAGTAAGCACTTCTGATTTGGAGGAGATTTTCTCTCTTAGCCGCCTTTTATGAAACCTGAAGTTTCATTATCGGCCACAAAGGACATCAAATGGGTCCAATATTGAGCTAGTTCAATACCGTCCACATCCTCACAACGTACTTCTTTAAGATCCGTCTTAATATCATTCCCGCGAGTACAATATGTTCTGCCAACATTCTCCTTCATTTCATAATATTCTGCGTAGGGAACAAATTATTGTTGTTAATTTCACACGTGACCCAGTATCATACCCAGTTCATTAGCAAATTTCATATGGATTTCATTTTTATTCATATTTACTCAAAGTCCAACGTCGTGTCTAAGATTTCAGGCTTTCGCAGCAGTGAAAATGTCGACTGTGGTCTGATGGGTTGTGACAAGGTGTAGTCTAATTACACGGCTTCACAAATTCCAAGACACAATTCACAACGTCTCGAACTACATTCATCTGGCTCAGAATAGCGGACTCTTGTTAACACAGTAATAAAACTGTAGGCTCCATTGAAGGCGACATTTTTGTGGCAACTTAACAACTATTATCTTCTGAAGAACTCTACTCACCGAGTTAAACACTATACTGCGCCTAAAAGGCTTACGCGAACGTCAAGCTAAAATTATACGTTCACTTCTATACAAACACCGAGAGCCAACAACCAGTAAAGTCCAGTATCGCGTACAGAGATGAATGTAATGAAACTGTATATTACACAAACCAGTACGCAATACATAACAAAAATTTACAACCAACTCGCACAAGCATGTGTCCTAATTACGAAACTGCAGCTGACAGCCGTGTGCTGTCGTTTTCGTTTGAAACATCTGCTGGAGTCGACCCTACAAATTCAAATACATGTAGGGTTAACAAGTCACTGGCCCTAACGTAATCGCTTCCTACATTTCAGAAAAGCAAGTAGTCAACATATATCGATTTACAGAACATTCTTTAAACACGATTCCACTTAAAGCATGCCTCTGAACAGAATTCAATGAACATAAAACGATTCGAACACGATTCAATCGGCAGAAAATATGTATGCTTTTAACTGGAGTACATTTATAAAACATATATGCCGTCTTTGGACGTCTGGTGCGTTCGTATCTCGAGAAAACACAATAAAGATCGATTGTTTAATGCCGTTTATGGGAATAACAGCAATAAAGCGACATCAAGGTCAACGACGTACATAAAAATGCAAAGATCGAATTTGAAAAATACGCGTCTTCGAAACTGCAATACCTCTTATTCGCTAGTGTTAAAAATGTCACGACGTGAAAAAACATAGAACGTCTTTATTCTTCCTGTTTCCATTAATACTATACATCCAATTTGAAACAATAATGACCTCGCGTAAGATCCCACGCTCAAGGGCTGCTGGCGACTTCGGCACGCTACGATGACGTCACACCATACTTCACCAAATCCGTCGGCAAGAGTATTGATTTTGATGTCAGGGTGTTTAAAAACTGGCAGTTGCCAACTGTGAACAATGATATGCAGGGCAGGGTAATTCGCAAATGGTCATTGTAAGAAGTAATGACGCTGGGTCCAGCCACGCTGTTATACAACAATAAATTACTTTTATTTTCGGAAGTGCAATTTTACACACTAGGCAATAGTGAGGAACCTAATAATTTGTGCACTTCATGTTTATCACACGTGGTAAAAAAGAGAACGAAATAAGCAAGGCTTTCACTATGAATGGGGAAGCCAAGCAAGCCAAAAAAACTTTAGAAGATTACATAGGAGACCTACGCAAAAATGGGAGAATATCAAAATACATATAATAAACTAAGTTTTGAGGGTGTGGACTGGATTCACCTTGCTGAGGATAAAGTCAAATTTTATTAACAAAGTTATGAGCATTCGCTTTCCATATAATCAGAGAATTTCTTGACTACGTAAACATCATCATCCGAAAGACTCTGCACTGCTGGTTATAACTAATATTTGACATGACAACAGGGAGATACGACAAAAAGGAAATGGAAAGTGGCATTTAAGAACAGTCACTGCCAAGGTGGTAGTAGTAGTAATAAAAAAAATCCATGGGTAAAACATGTTGCTGAGATGCAGAGCCAAGAAAAATATACACAGAAATTTGGTGCAGAAATCAAAAGTGGAAGTTTAAGAATCAAATAATTGGGTTCCTGATTCTTCAAGGTGAAGGTCTGTTTTGACATTTCTTGACCTCTGCTAACCTATGGCAAATCTAGAATCAATTACAAGGCGGGAGCAACCACAAAATGGTTTCAATTATTCCTGATGGTAGGTTAGATTACTAAAGATACAAGGCAGGACCTACAGTTTAACACAGGCTCCAAACCACAGTGAAGGCCTGGTATACTATTTGACTTTCCTAGCTTTCTATCTTTGGCAAAGAGGTCGAGGCTTCAATGTATCGACCAAACAAATTCACCCACAGATATGACTGGGGACGAAACCCAGAACCCTCTAAATGAGAGCCCAGTGTCTTATTCTGATATGAAGACCCTAGAATTAAAAGGATGCATAATAATATGACCTTAAGGAAGCATTATAAAGACAGGAAGAAGACGGAAGAGGCTCAGAATTGTGTCAAATGGTGGGGCTTTGCAGCTTTCAGGTTCTATAATCAAAGAGAATTCACTTACAATATATCCATGTATGTCTCTTTGAATTTCTTACAGTCTGGAAATAGGTTCAAGACTGAAGATTTCTGACGGAGGCAGTATGACCTCTGAAACGTTGGTAAATATCGACCAGACTACACAGCGCAACAACCCAGAAGACAGAAATCTTCACACTCGCCGCCTTAAAAACCTCAAATCTTACAGGTTCAAGACTGTTCATGAATTTTGTTTCCAATTATTAAACAAGCAGACAGTATCACTATAATGGAAATACCCATTATGGCTCTTCTATAATTACAACTTCAGTAATTACAAAATATCCACCTGCAGCATTCCCAGATTACATATTAAAGAGAAAGTTATGATGGACACGACATATAGCTAGAATGAGTAAAACATGGATTGTATACAGAATTTTGGTGGAAGAACCTCTTGGAACAGTCACACAGAAAGCTAAGGATACAGGACAATAACATCAAAATGTACAATCAATCAATGCCAGAATGGTACTTTCAAAACAGGTTACATCTGCTTCGTCCTCAGTCCATTCTATTTCACAATACATAATAATTCTCATATCAGTCAGCATAAATAGCTTCTGCAACTGATATATCATCATTAAATAACCTATGAACTACACATCATAAACCATAAACCAACACAGACGTACAGAACTTGGAGAGCCAAGTGTAGCAGAGAGATAATTACGAACGTAGCAAAGTTTAAAATATGAGCTGGTTCGGGATAGGGTCAGGTGGCAGGTTTTTGTAAGCACAATGATGAACATTCAGGTTCCATAACAAAAGTGAGCTATTCTTTGACAAGCCAAGTATAGAATCGACATTTTGAAAAACATCCTGCACCACCGAGTGAGTGAGCAAGCAAAGTTTAAAATTGAGGAACACAAGGAAAATAACGATATGATCCAACAGTTTAGAGACATATAATAATAATAATAATAATTAGTGGCATAACAGCTCCAGAGAGCCAAAGCCGACTAGCTTGACTGCTGGCCTCACGTTCACATGCCTAAGCAGAGGTAAACGATCATCCAACTAGATATAGGCTGACGTGTGGTCAGCAAGACGAACCCCCAGCCATTGCTAGCTTTCCTGACCGGATTACGCTACTCATTGTAGCTCCCCAATTTCCTCACGATGCTGGGTTGGCACCGGTCCCATACACCAGTCGAAAGCCCATGAGAAAATTTCTTCCCACCTGAGACTAAAACCAGGGCGCATTCCATATCGTCGGTCCGAAGCATGATGCCTCAGACCACGCGGACGTTAGAGACATATACTTCAAGAAAATGAAATGGGAAATGTTACAGTACTCCTTACTGTCATACTCCAGAAATCTGGAATTTCATGTGAACGTAGTAACACAGTACATTTTGTACTTACCGACTGCCCTGTAACAGACCCTGCTGGGCGTGCAATCTTCGAGCACAGACAGAAGCTCCGCCTTCTGACATGTATCCATCACACATATCAGAAAATGGGTGTGTCACACTACTCTGCAACACATCTCCATCAGACAAGTAACCTGTATATACAACAAATTAATTACTGTTAATGTAGATTAAGATTACAATAAAAAGTTAACACTAAAATAAGTGAACTAGAGAACTTTTAATAATCACAAATATGGTTCAAATGCTGTACATTTTTCTTTATTACAATATCACAAATAGTTTTAAAAAATAAGACCACCTCCTCTCAGTATGAATGGTAAACTATTTTGGATGATCACTGCGAGTATTTCTATGGCTCCACGTATTTTCTCTTACATTATAGAAAAATATCAAACTTATATTATTAGAATGTTTCTCAGAAGCTATTTACTTTATTTATATATTTACTTGTGAATTATGTAGTAACATTGTCAGTAACTCAGAAGATTAATAAACAAAGAATCTGAAAGTATAAGGATGGAAGTGGTCATGACCTATTTTAAGGCACTATTCTGGAATTTGCCTGGAGGTACTGAAGAGAACCAAGTACAACCTTGGTTTAAACAGCAAGTTTCCAGGCTCAGACATGATCCCAAAAACTACAGATACAAAAGCGGTAGCATTTGGTGCTTAACCAAATTATAGTTTGTTTCCAACAATAGTTGAAGTACAAGAAACAAGGGTATAGCCTTCCCAGGTTTGCCACACTGCAAATATAACAACAATTAATTATAAGAAGAAACATAACAACTTATCCCACTACAATTTTGTAATATTACCTGACATAACATCTATGTTGCTGTATTCTGGGTCTCCATAACCACCATCTCCCACTCCTCTTTTGATATTCAGCATAGGATCTAAATGCTGGGCATAGTTGAAATATTTCATGCTTTGTTTATTTTGCACACCTGAAATGACAGGATTGCGGAAATCAATAAGATTAACAAACTGTTATGCTTTTAGTACCTTCATATATCTCAAGCCTTATGAAGTGTAATCATACTTAACACATACATTCTAAGCAGTTATTTTCAGTTAATAAGTAAAACTATTTTATACTAAATAAAAGACCTTCCGATGACAAATTTCAGCAAACAGAAATTACAGATTCTGGTATGAGACAGTTTCATATATAAAAAAGTTTTAGAAATTATGTAAATGTACTGCAGTCTATCACACTGGGATCATTCTTATTTTCTTGATAATTCAATGTCAAATAAACCATCCTTTAATTTAACCCATCATCTCAGATTTTGAAGATTTCTGTCTTCTGGGGTGTTGCGCTGTGTAGTCCGGTCGATCTTAACCAACATTTCAGAGGTCATACTGCCTCCGTCATCAGGGCAATGAATCACCCCACTTAGTATGAAGATTTCTGTCTTCTGGGTTGTTGCGCTGTGTAGTCTGGTCGATGTTTGCCAACGTTTCAGAGGTCATACTACCTCCGTCACCAGGGCGATGAATATTCATTGACTACACAGCACAACAACCCAGAAGACAGAAATCTTCATACTCACTGGGGCGATTTATTGCCCTGATGACGGAGGCAGTATGACCTCTGAAACGTTGGTTAACATCGACCATACTACACAGCACAACAACCCAGAAGACAGAAATCTTCATACTCACCGCTGTGAAAACCTCAAACCTTACATCTCAGATTTTCTTTCTATTCCATTCATGTCAGTTTGTTAATATAATAGTAAACACACTGAATATCCTTATTCATAATGTGTCAGAAAGTTCCTTACAACCTCGTATATGCAGTGCTCGAAACTGTTCTGAAATAATTATTGATCATTCATCATGACAATCATAAATATATATTCCTTCAACCCTTCCATAAAATGCTATTGCTGATGGCAGATTGAATGTGTACTGTTCAGTCACATTATCACTATTAAAATATGTCGTTAATGCATAATGGGCGGTAAAAATTAATAATCGGGACTCACCCATGCAAGACATATGTATACTTGGCCCAGATGGCGTATAGCCCCGTAACAATGGTTGCATGGGCTTTACGTTCATTGCTGCTTCTTCTTCTCCCCCAAATGATGTTTCTCGAGGCTGTACATGTGGGGCCTCTTGAGTTATCACCTACACAGAATAATACAACAGCATTATAACGAATTCTTCTTGGGCTACCAGCCGCGTAACACAATTTAACGGAGAAAACACCAACGTTTCGAGAACCATCTTCGTCCTCATCCTTAGGGTACTATAACTGCAAATTCTCAATTTCAGAGGTGGTATCTGCGAAGCAACTGGTGACAGAGTTCTAGTTTTCAGAGTGGCAAGTATAAAGATGGCTCTCTTCTGACTTCTGGGCAATGACCTGATAATGGAGGCAAGAAGCACCTCTGAAACAACAGTTAACTTTGACCAGAAGAAAGCCATCTTGAAACAAAACAGGTTGCATTTAAATACAAGTTTTGTTTGTAATGCAAAAGGACTTGGGTCTGTGCTAGTACATGTAAGAAAAACCCAAATTCAGTTCGGGTTAGGAGCTTGGCCAGGTTAGTGAAAGAATGTTTGAGTTAGGTTAGTAACTGTAACTAGTTCCTGAACTGAGAAACCGTTAAAGTGGTGTTGGAAACTAGTTCTGACAAAAACTTGCTGGAAAGCACATTACCTTATCCAAGTTATCAAATGTTGTCTCAATCTTCCTAGAAACAGGCTTGCCCATTTCACTGCCACTCTCAGAGCTGGGTCTGTAGATAACACTGCTGTCAGACGAATTCGAGTTGGACTGTCCCGTTGAGGTGGAGTAAGTTGATTCACTCATACTAGAACTATTCTCACTAGGCATTGGAGAAACAAGAGCAACACTGATGCTTCCACCCAGTTCACCATCCCGACTTCCCAGCTGCTTCTGGCGTGGCAGAGCATCGCGGTGTATTACCGACTGTTTCATGGGACTTGCTACTTGGTTCCGTTCTTCCTTGGCTGGTTTGCTGGTACCTTTCACAGCAGCAGTGGGCTTAGGAATGCTACTTCCAGATCCTCCAAGGGTACATGGGGGAACAGGTGGTATTCGCAATGGCATGTTGTTGCTAGAACCAAATGAACTTTTCACTGATGATTGACCTCGTATTTTCGAAACTGCATTGTCAGATTTCACAGACTTTCCTTGTCTGGCAACATTTTCTGAATCTCCTGATGGTTCACATACATAATTCTCATTATTCAACAATTCTCTCCCATGCATTTTTGGATCCCCTTGCACTAATCTTAGGCCAGAATCTTCTTTCAACTTGGGCTGTTCATCCACTACCACCCCTCTACATTCTCTACTGTTAATTCCACTTTTACGAACAAATTTTGGCGAAGATTTGTTAGACTGGATTTTGGCTCTGCTCTTTGGTGAAATTTGGCTCACGTCTTTACAACTACCAACACTTATCAAGTCTTTAGAACTTGCGACACTTATGCCCTTCACTAGTTTATTCCTAAATCCACGTGACAAACCCTTCGGGCTTGAATCATCACTGCCAGGATGTCTGTACGAAAGTGAGGGGCTAGCTTCCTGCCTTTCATCTTGAGAGGTAGAGCTGGAAAGGAAATACAAAACAGAGTTTAGATACGCATCTGTAGTACCGATATTTATTAGCAATTACACTGGGAACATAACACAAACAAATGTAAACAAATGCCATACTGCTTGGATGGAGCACGTTAACTTTGACAGCAGTGCACGTCCTCTTGGTATTCACTGTTTATGTTCTGGCGAACCTCATTATGAAAACAAACCATGCAGTGTACTGACTCCGCGTACTTGGTTTCCATACACTGACGACACACTCCGCTTTTTTAAATCAACGGACATGTGTCCTAATTCATATACACAATTACCACGTTGCAGTCACATATCTTTATATTCCTGTTTTTAACGCACAGCATGCCCAGGGTTGGGTCGCAATCGGGAAAGCAACCAATGAATCACTTAAGTTGTGCGTAACAGTATAGCCAACACAACCACACCTCATGTAAAAGTAAAAACATAGACACTAACATTAGAACTAAGTTCATTTGCGTCAATGCATAAAAATTGCACAACCCAACCAAATCACTGACTTCTAAGTCGACAGCTGACCTAACCCACAGATTCAAAGAACAATAGTACAGAAAAAACACCCATAGTAGAACCTTGTGCGAGGCTACGACCAAAAAAGACGATTGTGGCAATCAAGCGGAAACAAAGAGGGTGGGTTTTCGTCTGTCTGAGCAAAACACGCATGGTTAATTTTAAAAATACTTCTTTTTGGTGTGTTAAAACCAAAAAGGTTAACTAATGGGGCACCTCTTCTTTCAACGGGGTCAAAATATAAAGATACATAAAACTATAGTTTGTTTGTTCGTTTGTATGGATGTGAAACTTCGTCTTAGGGTCTGCAAGGGGTCAAGCCTTAGGCTGAGGGACGGACCGGGTTCAAATGATGACAATGAAACTTTATGCAGAACATTTCAGACGTTCTCAGGTCATTTTCTTTTCCCAAAGAAAAAGTTATTCGCAGTTGCCTTCATCGTATGCTAGTGATGTTGCCGGGCTCCAGTTACAAATCCCATCGACTTTTTTTCTTGGGGATTTTCGTAGCTGCCCCGTCCCAGAAATAGTTCGAGACAGCACCTTACAACCTTGGCATCAAATATATTTGTACCGTTCCTCAAACTCAAAAATTACCTCAGATGTTATTACTGCGTCCTTATATAAATAATTCAAGGAAAACTGGCATTTATGCACAAAAATAAAAATTCATTAATGATACGAAATTCGGGGCAGATTATAAATATGTGGCTTTATTCGGGCTGCAATTAAAGGAAGTTGGGAAGACAAACTTCTGAAATTTAGGCCCGTGCAGACCCTTACTTGTTCTTTCACATTAAGGAAGAATATAGGTCGGAGGTGTTTGAGAGGGAAGTGCCGAGGAGATCATTTGAATGTAAAGCGGATAAAGTGACAGGTAATAGGAGACTGGGGACAATGAATATTCTGAGGAGTTTAATCAAGTATGATCTTCATGAGAAATAATCTGAATAATCAAATCAAGTAGGATGATATTGATGGAACATTTAGCGCCCAGAGGAGAGATGAGAAATGTATTCATAATTTCGGTTCAAAATGAAGAGACCACTTGGAAGACAAGGGCGTAGACGGGAGGACATTAAAACGGAGGTTCAGAAAATGGGATGGGAGGGGTATGGATTGGATTCTTATGGTGGATTTTTTACACCGTAATGAACCTTCTGATTCCATAAAAAACGAAACATATAAAATCCTCAAGCTAATTTTTTTTATGAGATCTGAAACATGATAGCCGTAATTTAGTTCCAAACTAGTCAACCTTATTTTAGTGTGCTTCCGTTTTTCCTCAGATGCTCGGTAAGAAGGGCAAACATCAAATATAATTTGTATAGATTTAAACGCCTTCTACTGAACACAAAAAATTTACGTAGTCGCTTACTTAATTACTCCATGGAGCCGAGTCCTATTGAAAAGCCAACAAAAATTCCCGACATTATTATGCAACCCGCATGTTCATTGCCGTGTTCATAAGAGCCCGCCAATGGTCCCTACCCTGAGCCAGATGAATTCACTCCATACCACCCTACTCTATTTCTCTAAGATCAATTTCTTCTAGCGACTAGATAAAGCTTAAAAGCTGTAAGAGATTAATGACTGGAATGTTTCTGTGGTTCCTTCATCCTTCCAGCCTTTTCTGATAAAAAATATGAACGTAACGATTTTCGAAGTTCGATACTGGCTACAATCGAAAACCCCTTTAGAGTTTGGCAGACCGCAGTTTGATAAACACTGATCTACATGAATATATTCAATCTGACGTACCTGGGACAAGGTTTGGCATCACTGCACAAGCTGGTAGAAGAGTCGCTCCTTTCTGATCGCGCAGAGCTAAATCCACTTGAACTGGAGGTTCTTTTGGACACATTCGTGTTTCCTGAAATATTGTCAAAGAAGTAGCTATGTAAACTGAATTCAATCACTTATCATGTCCCTTTCTCTTTTATCAATATATATAGTGAATTTACAATTCTCATGAATACTTCATAAGAATTAGTATTTGTCTGAACACGTAACAGCAACTCTCGTAATCAGTGGGTAGGCTGTCTGGACCAAAATGACATTGAAGAGAAAATAACCTTGAAAAATTAACCTCTGTATGTTCATTACAGATATATTGAAGTACACGCAGTTGAAAAGCATTATCTTTATAGCACAAGAACCAATAAATCTTGCGTCACAATTGAATGTTGTATTTTCGCTTCAAAGTGATGCACGGAACTTGTAATTTTGAAGTAACTCTTACCACCTTTGACTCTGCTACCACTGTTCTTCTCCTTGTAGGAAAATAACTTGAGACCGCCAAGCATGCTGTTCTTTTCAGATGTCACACGCTGCTGGGTGTGGCCACGAGGAGACGAAGGGCTGGTAGTGGTACTCGAAGACGGGGTGCTGCTTCGTACTCTGTCCAAATAGTGCACAGGCAAGGAGAGAAAATGTTACGAATTTAATGCATGGAGCATTAGTCCTTATTGACAAGTTAACCGTAGCTCAAGTTCTCAAAGAAATTGCTTTGTTTTTATGTAACAAAGGTTCATTGCCGTGTTCACAAGAGTGACTGACGTTCATATCAACATTTAAAAATTTAAATAAAATTCATCTAAGATACAAATGTACTACTGATCATCTGTAACTTCAAGAAGACAAAACGCAGAAGGATTCCAAACGTATATAAACAACAAATTAATATATATTTTTAATCACACTCAATAAAAACGCTCGTGGTGGTGAAAATGTAAAATTGAGTCTTCTGGATGTGGCATCAGCTTCTAAGGCATGACGTCACGTAGTCTTACCAATGTTTCGGAGGAAGAGGGTGGATTCTGAGGCAATGAAATTGTCTGGCTCAAGAACGAGGGGTAACTGAATACAGTTCACATGTGACAGAAAGAAATTTAGTTACAATCCATTATTTTTGTTCCAAACAAAGTGTTTTCCAGACAAATCTTATAAAATACCGTATAGCGCAATTACTTACGTTGAAACTGCGATCCCCACAAAGTAAAAAGAATTGTTTTGCAATACTACCTGGTATTTGGAAGATGCTTGTCATGTGGTCCCCCTGTCCGGGTAACGGTAGGGATCAACGAATGCGCCGAAGAGGGACTTGTAGACCGGGAACTACACGCCGACCCACTGAAGGATCCTCCTGAACATAAATAAGGCTGATTGTACAAACAGTTGGTGTTCTTTGGCATCTCCGGATAATGAGACACAGCGTTACCACAGTGTGAACAAAATAACAATTTTTAGTGATAATCGGTGGGCTTCCTTAAACATGCTGCAAAGCCTCGGACGACTTAATTTGTCAGACCTTAACCCTCAGACCCTGCTACAGCCGGCCATTTTAGTGTGGATTAACTCCTGAGTAGAAAATTGTGGATTGGAATAAACACGTCACATTCTTTACGTTTTAATGTGATATTTATTGAACAGATTGTTTAATATTAATTTTAATAGCTATATTTCATTTAAATATAATAATCATAGCCATTATTTCCTCTTGATTTCCTCAGCTTGGGTTAATTCTAACTTGACTAATAGTAATAACCGCCTCTTTCAATCAGACACACTTTACAAGTTGGCATAATTATCTGCAACATCACATTCTCCTGTTTCCAAGTTTACTTCCGTCTACTCTATCTTGTGATTATTACGAGACGATGTATGTCACTAACAGAGACAGAGATCAATGTCCACCCCTGTTTCGTCGCTAGAGAACCAGAAATGGTTTTAACATAAATCGTATTTACAAGTCCAATCACCTTGAGGTGTCACAGTGTTAAATAACAGAATCGATGTGTAAAGTCACTTTTCAAAACCTGAATCGACTGATACGTAAGAATTATTCAGTATTTGTCAAGGAATTCCATTAATGTTTACGTCCCTACAATTTAATACAGTTTATTCGAAATTAATCCAGTATAAGCATAGCCACACGCATTAGGGTTAAGTAAGAGTTTATTCAGGCTATATAAAGATGTCGTAATAAATAAGCAACAATATGTTTAATTGTTCTTCATCTACAACTTAACGGGTTGGGACTATACATCACGGCAGAGTGGTTAGCGCTCGTGCTTCGTATTTGGAATATCTCGGCTTCATATCTGAGCCCAGAGACCGGCTACCCTGATTGAGGTTTCTGTGGATTCTGTCAGTGACTCCACGAAAATACTAGGGCATTACCTTCCATATGAATTCCAATTCATTATTCAATAATTATCCTATCATTTAACATTATAAAGTAGTTAAATAAACCACAAATATATAAATTAATAAACTTCGCAGTTTGGGTTTTAAGGTCCTTTCCGTCTAGTAAGTAAGATTTTGATCGATGTCTTTATTTAAGTGCAGTTTTTATTAAGAAAAACTCAGGATAAAACAGATAATTTAACGAATTTTAAACATTATTTAATGTAATGGCATTGCTATACGGTCATTTAGCCAACATACTTTTTATCTGTTACCGATAATGTTCACGTTCAGACTGTTCTCCCACATAATGCACATTACAACCATACTTATGACTTTCCTAGGTACAACAACAACAACAACAACAACAACACAATGGAAGCGTTATTAAGAGCAAACACAGTTGGTCTGACCTAGTTTCCACAGGACGAAAACAGCCATTTCTTTTCGAGAAGTCTGCGTATGGCAAAACACGGTTCTGCAGTATTCTGAACATTTTGAGACATACCAGTTTCCGTGTACTTGTATTTAGTTAAGTACTAATCGAATCGAAACCGTTTCTAATAAAATTTGTACATCTTATTAGGGCTCCGTCTTGTAAGATGAATCAAAACTTCATGAAAAGTAAGTTCTATAATGGACAAGTAACCACCAAAACACAAGTAGTTTCGGAGATGAGACACGTGGACAAACGGACACGACCTCCTCGTCATGCGTTCATTTTAACTTGTGCACATAACTCACAGAAAGACTACATCAGCAACTAACCAGCCGGTGGTGGTCACGAGCATAACAAATTGCGAAATGTGTGCGTGGCGTAACAATTATGGCGCTTTCGCTCTGTTATTGCCTCCAGACCTTCCACGTGGCAAATGTTGACTTTTTATGCACTTAAAAATAACGTAAATTACCAAAGCGGAAAAACAAGGACCACCAACACAAGATTGTATCAACATCAGTTCAACCATTCTCGAGTAATGACATGATGCATCATAAAAAATTGGCTTGGTTTAATAATATCGAGAACCAGAAGACTTGTGGAAGAAATGTATCGGCAGAGAAGTGAGTTTAACTTCTCTCTACAACTTGTACTAGAAATATTCGTGGCTTGGATAATTACAGTCTATCGCAAATTATGCTCGAGGAGCGTGTAAAAAATTATATATGTTTATATTGTCATTTGTTATTATTAGGTTTTAATTAAAATTGGAAGCATCGATATATTTCAACACACCTCCTTCCACAAATATCAAATTTCTTTAAAATCCGTTCAGCTGTTCTCCAGTTGTTGTATACGGACAGACACACATGACGAAACTAACAGGCGTATTTTTACAACTTTCCACTGCGAATGGACCAAAAAACGTTTGCTTGTTCAAAGCTCCACATTAATTCCAATACTTAAAAGATCGTTTGGTTGTTCCGAACACGAATTTGCCTTCGCCATTGACGCACACAAATCTTGAAGGTGTGTTAGTTCCAAATTATCACTTAGCTGTCGTGCTGACCGATTACATGAAAGCCTTCAGCATCTGCATTGCCATTTTTTGGTTCTATAACTACAGCCCAAATGTAAGAAACACGAGGGCATTGCAAACAGTGAACGTTATTCTTGTGCCTTAAAATTGTATTTACTGTAGGCAGTTTGAATATTTAAAAAACAAATTATATTTTTAAGTGCAAAGACAATGTACAATCGGCCTACATAAAAACTGCATCAAGCCATACAAAATTTCATTTGCCTGCTCCAAGGCTCATTAAATGTCATATAACCTTCAGCTGCCATGTTGTGTTCTGTTTGAAAAAAAAAATACTGCAACAGAAGTTATGTTTTTCGAAGATATATTACCACACAGAATGTCAGGACATTATATTGAGTGACACTCCCTCATCGGAAGGTCTCATGGCTACCATGTTTCTATTATTTATGGCAGGAAATGAAAAGGAACAAAGGTTGGGTGGCCCCTGGTAGCCATGGCGTTCATATTTCATTACCTTTCGTCACTTGGTTCAAGTAGAGTGGACAGACACGTACACACAAACAGGAAGATTGATTTAATCTACTTTTATAAAATATGTAACATAAACCAAAAGGGTTGGAATCAAAACACATTTTTTCTTTCGAAATGAAATGTAACGGATAAATGGCAATCTAATCTCAGGTAAATACATTCTGGATGTAACACTTTTCTTTACCGTGGAATCCCGGGTTCACTTCCAGGTCAGTCCACATTGAGATTTGTGGTGGACAAAATTACATTGGAACATGTTTTTCTCAGAGCTAGTCGGTTTTCTCCTGCCAGCATCATTTCACCGCTGGTTCATATTAAGTCGTGTGTCTTCCAGAGGATGGTATCTCAAATGCGTTACATCCCAACCCCAGTTTCCTTACTTTCGAAAATCTTCCTGAAAATTACAAACCCCTGATTCCTATCAAACGTGCAGTATCTCTTTTCCGGGTTGCGCTCCGAAGCAAAAAACGATGGACGAACGTCAAGTATTATAAAAGATTAGCATTAGTTTCGCCACAGCAATATGTAATTAAGCGAAATTCTAGCTTCAAGGGCGAGTTATTATAATACTGAGGACTATTACTGTCAAGAACAATTTATGCCGGCCCAAGTATTTGTTTTAGAAGCACTATTTTGCACCTAGCTACTTCCTTTCCTTTTTCGTTTCCTTTTAGTGACTAATTAGTTTGTGTTAAACATTACTGACAATGCCTTCTGTTGCACAGAATCTCACTGGATTAAGTCGATTACGATTACGTCACACTACTTTTAATTTCCCTTGTTAAACAAACAGGAAATTTCTGAAAATTTAAACTATTTCACATGCCCTACATGATTTTTAATACACAGTGATGATTATAGCGTCTGTTAAATTTTAATACAACTTTCATGCATTTGTTTTAAATCGTAAATAAATGTGTTCAGACCTTCTAGCAAGAATTAAATTTACAGGGAATTATTTACACTGTACAATATAAACCACAGTTCTAAAAAATCTCACTACTGCTTTATGAACGATTTCTCGACAATGTTTTTTCCCCCACTAATTCTTTTTCTCCTCCCCTCACTTCTCCCACATTCTATTTCCTACCTTTAAGCTTAGAATATCAACGAAAAATATCAATTTGCGGTATGTAGTCCGTCATTCCAATATAATCGCCGCAGACTGCTCGTAAAAGCTTCCCAACGGCTGCAGCTTTTGTAAAATAGAATATTCTACCTTATAGGGTCATTACTTCGAGCTCTTAAGCCTCTCTGGGCGCAAACAAACATGCGTCAAGCAAGCAAACATCAAACTGGATTTTATATGATACGGATTATGAACGACAAAGGGTCCGCCATGTTGAGCGTGAAGGGTGACTTCCCAGCTTCACACGCTACTGCTGTCAATGGGAAAATAACCTCTGCTACATGATATGTGAAATCGAGAAACTGAGCGGGTTACGCGTTTCCTTTGTCAAGATTCGAGGTCAGTGATGCAAACCACAGAGCAATATCATCACTTACGCTCGCCTACACCATACCCACACTACCAATACAAACACGAAATTTCTCCACAACTTCCCTCCAACAATCATCCTTTGGTTCACGTAACTACGTTTACGGAAATTTGTCTTTTGATGCCAATTGTTTACTCGCATCCTCCCGTCCAGCCAACGAGCTTCAACAGGCCTACCACTTCATTTTACAAATATTAAACATTAAAATGAAGGATCATAAAAAGTTTATTACTCCTACGGCACCAACGATGCAACGCGCAACGTAAAACGCGGGACACAGTGAAAATGGGATTTGCTCTTACCCATCACCATAACAAGATGTCACGTTTCAAATTACGACACGGGGCCTAGGAATTTGGTACGAGCTAAGCGACGAGAAAGGTCATGGGATTTTGAACTTGGAACGTTAAGAGTCTGTATATGACAGGTTCACTGGAAACAATAGCTAGAGAATTAGCAAAGGAGTTTCTTTCTCACGTTTACATAAAGGAACCAGGTCAATAGTTAAAGAGTTCGCCAGTAACATAATGTCGTATAGGCCTGTACGTTACCTAATCCTAAGAGGTCGTTGGTGTCGTATGCTAACGCTGCAAGTTAATAGTTAAAAAAGCATAAACACCATAAAAATAATACAAAAACTTCATCAGACGCTAGTAATGAGGTTAGTCTCAAAATAAATGCAGAACAGTGCAGTTTACATTTTTATACAACATTCATGCCCTTCTCCTAATCCTAGCACATTCGATACATTATCTGTCAAACCCAAACCCCACGGAAGGCAGCATTCACATGTTTCCCTCCACCATTTACAGATGCCAATATACCTTGAGGCTGGTGGTGAACGCTTCCGAGAGGAATAGACGACTGGCGGCCATCTTCAGTTCCCGACAAACGGGAACCAGCGGGCAATGGAATGCTCGTGACACTGCCACTGTGCTTGCTGTTTGCAGACGGAATCCTGGAACAATATCACATTATCATTTCTAACTATCGCGTCCTGAAACAGGAATTCACTACTGTCAGCAAAGTCACTGTACAGGTTTCTGCAAAATGTTTTTGGTCTAGGCAAAAAATGTCGCGAACAAGGACAGTAGGACAACGTTTCTGAACAGATGGACCTATATTTCATTTCTGTCGGTCCGCAAACTGTAGATAATCTACAGACCTTTTTCAAGCTTTCGGGAATTTGTAAATTCTTTATTTTCCTAGAGTGACCGGCAGAGTGGTGAGGAAGTGGTCACGTGGTTTTGGGGTTGGCCGCTGTATCAAACGAAGGGGGGATGTAGAGCCATATTAAAAACCCCAGATCCTAGAAAGACAGATGCCTTACACTATTTTTTTAAAAAAAATTCTTATGTTACATGTGGACGATTATAATGTCTCTAAGTATACAGGATGATTCAAAACTCTTGCATAACGCTTAAGGATGCGAGGAAGATCATCTGGAGCAAAAAATGTCGCTTTGTATTATTACGATCGCTTGACGGGGATTCTTGCAGAGAATTCGTGAAAGTACGGATAAATGATGCCCAGTTATTAGACTCGGACAGTGATGCTGTAAAAAGTTTAACGATTTTCCACTAACCGAAGAAAGAAGTGTTCAAAAATATTACTTTGAAGTGATGATTGAAAAACGCTTCATAGGGCACAATTTGCTTTCTTTCTTTCATTGCAAACAAAAATCAGTTTACATTCTGCTGAAACGAATTGTTATATTGTCTTAAAAATCGATAATCACAATAATAAAAGTGACATCAACGTAAAAAAAATCGAAACTCGAAACGGGAGCGAAATCTGAATAATTGTTCCCAACAACCTCTGTAAGTGTTGTACAAGAACTTTGAATCATTCTGTATAAACAATGTATTGTTTCAATTTAATGTTGCTGTGTCAAAAATATAAATGACACTTCTTTCAAGTAGCACTGCTTCGTACCTCGGCATTGCTTCAGACTGTCTTGTGAGGTGCTTCTGGTGCTGTTTATGCCGCGAGAGAGAGAAGAACACGCCAAGAATCGCCTTCAGGTTCCCCTGACGCACATCTTGTGCTTGGATTCCATCCACACTCACCCCCAGCTCACCCAAACAGGTGAGGCACGCCCTGATGTTGTCGATCTGCATGAAAAACGGCCAATATTCAGCATAACACAGATACAGCGGGAATTTCACTTGGAATATTACCGTATTTTCAATTTTAAGATGCACTCTATCAACATTTTAAAATTTCTTAAATCGGGGTAAAAACATACGTTAATTGGAAACATGTTTAAAACAGAAAAGCATTCACGTTCCTTGAATTCCATTGTAAGCAAGTCTTACTGCATATTAACAACAATGATGGTGACACTGGTAGGATGGAAATGAGCGTTATTGAATTTGAATCTCATCCTGGTACCAACCTTGGGTGTTACGGACATGTAGCACAATCTGAAGGTGAAATACTGCTTCAAGGTCCTCAAACACAGTGACTGGTTACGTGCAGAACACATAATTGCACTAAAACTTTGCTTTAACATTGCTAAGAAAACATTCCTCTTGCCAAGAACAGAAGGTGTGACAATGTGCGAATTGTTTCGTTACCCACCCAAACAAAGAGTGTACAAAACATGCATTCGTGAAAGATGACTGTCTTCTGGGATGCTGTGCAGTGTACTCTGATAGATAATGACTAACGTCTTAGAAGTATTTGCTGCCTCCACCATCAGGGCGGTACGTACACGGCACAACATTCCAAAAGACAGCCATCTTCATACTCGTTGCCGTGAGAACCTGATATGTCATCAGGAATTTGTGGTCTTTATAATGGGTCGGAAAAGTGTTGTGCTGCTTGAGTGAGAAATTGTCAATAATTAGGGTGGGACAGTGGAAGCAATAAAAGAATATTTTACTTTTTCGCGGGCGGCTTCATCACCCTGAAGACAAAGGCAGCAAGCACCTCTGAAACGCCGGTAAATTTCTACCACACTACACGGCTCAAAAACCCAGAAGATAGGCTATCTTCCAACTAGCTTCTTGTTGAAAACATCTTCTTATACTACTAAATTTTTCTTGAACAAAATTATTTAAAGATTTCTGTCTTCTGGG